GTCCATGATGATAATCCTGATCACAGTATTGTGCCTCAATGTTGCAAGATGTTACCACTAGGGGAAACTGCGTAAAGGGTAGACAAGATCTCTCTGTCCTCATTTCTTAAAATTGCATGTAAAGCTACAATTATCTCAACATTTCAGTAGAAATATTATTACCCTGTTTAAAATTCTTCACTACTTTCCTACTCCTTTCAGAATAAAGCCTAAAGTACTTACTTTGATCTTCTGTGACGTGCATCATCTGACTCACCATGTCCAGCCTGGTTTATTAGATACCGGTTTCCTGCTAGCTGTGATCCGGACACACTGACCTTCTTACACTATCTTTAACATGCTAGTGTCTTCGCTTACAGCCTTCCTACTCACTTCCTTCTGCCCAAAATACTGTTCTTTACATTCTCTTGATGAATTCCTTCTCATCCTTTGTATATCAGCTTCATTTTCTTTTCTTTTTTTGGCATTTTATTTTATTTTAATTTAAATTCAATTTAATTAACTTAGTGTATTATTAGTTTCAGTGGTAGAATTTAGTGATTCATCAGTTGCATATAACACCCAATGCTCATTCCATCAAGTGCTCTCCTTAATGCCCATCACCCAGATACCCTCCCCCATCTCCCCTCTAGCAACCGTCAGCGTGTTTCCTGTGGTTAAGAGTTTCTTATGGTTTGTCTCCCTCTCTGTTTTTGTCTTATTTTTCCTTCCCTTCCCCTGTGTTCATCTCTTTTGTTTCTTAAATTCCACATATGAGTGAAATCATGTATTTGTCTTTCTCTGACTTATTTTGCTTAGCATAATACCCTCTAGTTCTGTCTACATCATTGCAAATGGCAAGATTTCATTCTTTTTGATGGCTGAGTAATCTTCTTCTGTGTGTGCGTGTGTATGTATACACACACTATATATATATATCCCACCTCTTCTTTATCCATTCATCTGTTGATGGACATTTGGGCTCTTTCCGTATTTTGGCTATTGTGGACATTTCTGCTATAAACATTGGGGTGCATGTGCCCCTTCAAATCACTGTGTTTGTATCCTTTGGGTAACTACCTAATAATGCAATAGCTGGGTCCTACAGTAGCTCTCTTTTTTTTTTTAAAGATTTATTTATTTGAGAGAGCGAGAATGAGAGTGAGAGAGAACATTAGAGGGGGAAGGGTTAGAGGGAGAAGCAGGCTCCTTGCTGAGCAGGGAGCCCGATGCAGGACTCGATCCGGGGACTCCAGGATCATGACCTGAGCCGAAGGCAGTGGCTTAACCAACTGAGCCACCCAGGCGCCCCAGTAGCTCTATTTTTAACTTTTCCAGAGTGGCTGCACCAGTCTGCATTGCCACCAGCAGTGTAAGATGGTTCTTCTTTCTCCGCATCCTCACCAACATCTGTCGTTTCCTGACTTGTTAATTTGAGCCATTCTGACTGGTGTGAGGTGGTATCTCATTGTGGTTTTGATTTGCATTTCCCTGATGCTGAGTGATGTGGAGCATTTTTTCATGTGTCTGTTGGCCATTTGTATGTTGTCTTTGGAGAAATGTCCATGTCTTCTGCCCATTTCTTGACTGGATTATTTGTTTTCTGGGTGTAAGTTCTTTATAGATTTTGGATACTAGCCCTTTATCTGATAAGACATTTGCAAATATCTTCTCCCATTCCATAGATTGCCTTTTAGGCTTTTTTTTTTTTTTTGCCTTTTAGTTTTGTCAACTATTTCCTTTGCTGTGCAAAAGCTTTTTATCTTGATGAAGTCCTAGTAGTTCATTTTTGCTTTTGTTTCCCTTGCCTTTGGTGATGTGTCTAGCAAGAAATTGCTGCAGCCGAGGTCAAAAAGGTTGCTGCCCATGTTCTCCTCTGGGATTTTGATGGATTCTTGTCTCACATTTAGGTCTTTCATCCATTTTGAGTATATTTTTGTGTATGGTGTAAGGAAATGGTCCAGTTTCATTCTTCTCCATGTGGCTGTCCCAATTTTCCCAACACCATTTGTTGAAGAGACTGTCTTTTTTCCATTGGATATCCTTTCTGCTCCGTTGAAGATTAGTTGACCATAGAGTTGAGGGTCCATTTCTGGGTTCTCTATTCTGTTCCATTGATCTCTGTGTCTGTTTTTGTGCCAGTACCATACTGTCTTGATGATTATAGCTTTGTAATATAGCTTGAAATCTGGAATTGTGATGCCTCCAGTTTTGATTTTCTTTTTCAACATTCCTTTGGCTATTTGGGGTCTTTTTTGGTTTCATACAAATTTTAGGGTTCTTCGTTCCAGCTCTGTGAAAAGAGTTGATGGTATTTTGATAGAGATTGCATTGAATGTGTAGATTGCTCTGGGTAGCATAGACATTTTAACAATATTTGTTCTTCCAATCCGTGGGCATGGAATGTTTTTCCATTTCTTTTTGTATTCCTCAATTTCTTTCATGAGTGTTCTATACAGAGTACAGATCCTTTACCTCGTTGGGTAGGTGTATTCCTAGGTATCTTACGGTTTTTGGTGCAATTGTAAATGGGGTCAATTCCTTGAATTCTCTTTCTTCTGCCTCATTGTTAGTGTATAGAAATGCGACTAACTTCTGTGCATTGATTTTATATCCTGTGACTTTGCTGATTTCCTGTATCAGTTCTGGCAATTTTTTGGTGGAGTCCTTTGGGTTTTCTACATAGAGAATCATGTCATCTGTGAGTGAGAGTTTGACTTCTTCTTTGCCAATTTGTATGCCTTTTATTTTTTTTTGTTGTCTGATTCTCAGCTTCATTTTCATTTCTTAAAGAGAAGCTATTCCTGATTCTCCAGACTAAGTCAGATTTTTTCTGTTAGGAGTTCATAAAATAGTATGTTTCCCTTATAGCAGTCACTATAGTTTGTATGCATTCACATTTGTGTGTTGTTTTTTTTTTAATTTTTAATTTTTAAGTAATGTGTACACCCAGTATGGGGCTCAAACTCACAACCCCAAGATTAAGAGTAGCACACATGCTCTATCAAGTGAGCCAGCCAGGTGCCCCTCTTTTTTTTTTTTTTTCTTTAAGGTGAATTAACAAATTATTCCCTAAGTATGATAAGAATTTTTTTTTTCCATGTGGTTCTTTAATTCGTATCTGTCTCTTCCACTAAACTCCATGGGGGTAGAGTCTGTGTCTTTATCCCTAGCATTCAATACAGTGAGTGATGAGAACATGTGAGGCATGAAAGACAGTGTCTTTCTTTCTTTCTTTTTTTTTTTTTAAGATTTTATTTATTTATTTGATAGAGAGAGAGACAGCGAGGGAGGGAACATAAGCAGGGGGAGTGGGAGAGGGAGAAGCAGGCTTTCCGCCGAGCAGGGAGCCCGATGTGGGGCTCGATCCCAGGACCCTGAGATCATGACCTTAGCTGAAGGCAGGCGCTTAATGCCTGAGCCACCCAGGCGCCCCGACAGCGTCTTTCCCTCTCAACCTGTTCCCTTATTGGCGTGTAGGAAACACCTTACATACTTAGGCCAGAAGAATAGGTCCCAGTTGTTCTCTTCCCAGATCATGAGTTTGAATTTCTCTTGGATTGTCTAAAAACATACCTCTGTTAGGCATTTATTAGAGGAAGAATAGGATATGGTTGAGTAAGATGAATGCTCTTGATCCTGATGGTTCGGTCTACCGGTGAGCCATTTCAGGGCCTGGACTACTTGTCTCTGGGACATGGCCAGCCTTGGATTTGTTGAGTAGGTGGAATTCATTTGGAGCTGAAATTCATTGGCTTTCTGAATGGTCAAAGCTATTTTCATTGGTTTGGCAGAATTCTCTGTTGTTACATTGTATATTGGCCTACCAAAAGTGAGGTCCCATCTCTATGAGTATGGGTGTATGATTTGGTGAGTGTTAATGTTCTTAGTTGTGGACAGTAGAATCCACACTAGCTAGAATAGAAAGAGATATTGGTTAGCATATAGAATTTTGGGGAAGACCAGACAATTAAGCTTGGATCTGACAGAGGCAGAAGCAGTATAACCAGAAAAAGTGCTCAGTGACACCAAAGGACTATTTGAGCAAAATGCCACAAAGTTAGAGATCAGATAGCAGAACTTTTAGAACTTCTGCTAAGTAAGTTCCTGCAGAAAAACCATGACTGTTTGACACTCGAGTGCCCAAATAACAGTCAGTCCCACTTTGGTCTTCTGGGTCTTGTACAGGTGTGCCTGTTTGGTAGAAACTGCCTTATACATGGGACCTTAGCTGCAAGGGAATCTAAGGAGTATAGTCTGTAGCTTTCCAGTCCCTTGGAGGAGGAAAGCATGCTAGAACCTGGCACTGGGTGAGCTAGTCTGTGTTGTCTGCCATAGCAGATTAAGGGCTGACCATTACAGACAGACCTCATTGGTAAGTGTTTTATTTGAGTTTAGTGCAAATGATTAAGCTTGGTGTACTACCTTTTAGGAACTTAACATGGGAACATATAACATGAAACAGAGTAATGTATTTTAGACTCTCAGTGGTGGATTTTGCCTGTGCTGAGTTATGCACCTTATGGAGCTATATGGTTTTGCATTGTACCCATATGTTTGCCTATTCATTCATGGAATGTTCTTATCGAGGGCACTGAGTGTTGGCTGTTCCGTACAGTACTGGGAGCTAGTAATGCAAAGGAGAGTAAGACAGTCTGCATTCAGGAAACTCACAGACTTGGTGTGGCAGTGTTTTTCAGCAGAGATGTGCATTTACATTAAGTTGTGAAGTTAAAAAGTAAAAAAGCAGGACTCCACATTTAGATCTCCACTCTGAGCTGCATGCACCAGTGTGAAGTTCCTAAGGGAGACTGATATGCAGAGTCCAGGAGCCAGATTTTTAGCAGACTTTCCTATTGATTCTTAAGCATTCTCCCTTGGTAAAGAACCCTTGGTCCAGTGGATCAGTTAATAACCATTTTGTTTTATTGCTTTTGAAATCTTAGGACTATATTTCCGCTTGTAACAGTTGTTTCCCACTTTGCTTTAAAAAGTTGTAAGAACACATACTTGTTTTACAGGAGCAGAGTTACCAGGGCAGGTTATTTCCATGGCAGCTTCTACTCTGGCAACCTTGGCCATCTCCATCACAGGGTACGAATCAAACCCTGAGGACCCGCCCTCCGCCCACCCTGCAGGTAACTGACCTTACGAAGGAATGTTTTCAAAATCATTCTGAAAATGAAAGACGCTTTATAAAGGATAAACTTAAGGACATGAGCATCACAGAATGTAATTTACTGGTCCTTCCTTTTCCTCTGATTTCTCTTTTTACACTTTTTCCTCCTCTCATCTTTGTTCTCACATAATCACTTTTTTCATGCTTTTAATTATTTACCTTTTTATGTTTCTTATCTTGAATCTTTATCTTTTCCCTTTTTTTTAAAAAAAAGCTTTTCTTATCTTTCTTTTGTTATTCCTTCTCACTTTCCTTTCATTTTATTTTTTTTTCTTAGTGCCCTGTGTACCTTTTCCATATTTTTTCCCACTCAGTCCTTTCCTTATTTTCCACTTCTATAGCTGTCAGTTCTTCTCCATTGATCTATTTTGCTGTCTTTACATTTGTTCTCGTTACATTTTGCTTTTGTTGTTGACCCAACTTTTTTTTTTTTTTTCTCTCTCTTACAGTCATCCATTTCTCTGGCATTTCTTGCTTTACTTCTCAAAGTTTGCTTTGCATGCCTCATGCTGTTGCTATATTAACTGTTTCCCCTAAAGTGGGCTGTTTGGTTGTTCTGGATACCATGCTCCTAAGAGATCCACCTGGTAGATTTACATCAGCTTTAAAGTCACACTGTCCTCACACAGGGTTTAGGAATGGAAAGGGCCATCTCTGTGCCAAGCGGTCTACTAGAGCCAGGGGATTTGCAGTTACAGAATATTTTTGGTGAGCTCTTCCTGAACCACTGACTTTAGAAAACTCTTAAAAGGAGGGATCAGCTAAGAAAAGTCATTTGGAGTGGTAGGAAAACACATTTTTATTTCACATTGAATCATGTTTTCAGAATGAAGGAGGGGATGATGTTTTGGTGATGAACTTACTCTTCTTCTAAGTATCTACCACACCCACCAACATGCAGTTTCCAAATTAGAAAGATTCTTAAAGAGCAGAGTCAAACAGAAGCGTATTATAACTAGTTTGGGCTTTAGCCCCAGACCTCAGGGTGGAATGTTAGTTCTGGTGAGATGGGCCGACTTACAGTGTTCTAGTGTGTCAGTAGTAACAGTTTACTCACAGATAAACATTTAACATTAGGAGAGGCACTAAGGACATTATAATACAGCACTCAGAGGGCTACTGTGTAGTTCCTTATGAACATTATGAAATGGGAGGGAAGGTTGTCTTTCAACAGTATTTAGGGAGCACCCACTGTATGTCAGGTACTATTCTGTGTGCTGTTCAGCGGAGGGAGAACAAGACAGACAAGGTCTTAGCTCTCCTGGAGGTGACATTCAACTGAAGGAAGAAAGTGCGACAGGGTAAGTGGAACACGATATAACTACATAAAACTATGTAAAAACTATGGGACAGTATAGGGGTTCTTGTTTCTTTCCTTTATTTTTGAGACTTTATGAAATATAATATCCTTTTGTCATTAGCTTTTTTAATGGAAGGCAAAATGCAAGTTGTAGGGTGTTACTCATTTTCATCATCATGGCATGTACTGAATAATATTGCTTTAAGACTTATATGATTTCTGAGGTATATGGTATGTTTTGGTAAAACCAGGAAATAGAAATAATATAACCCTATAGTAAAACTTGGTAGTTGCATTGTTAGAAAACAGTACTTTATGTGAACTCATTCGGTATGGTCTCCTTTATTTGAAAATTCCTCACCCCCAGCAATCTGTCGTTGTTTTATTTCTTATTCTAAGGGAACGACCTGTTTCAAAGCCCTGGGTTTGTTTTTATAAGAGCAGTTGGCTCCATTTTAGGTGAAATGACACTGAAAAGCCGTGTTGTATCAGAAATACATATATATCTAATAAAATTATATTAAAAGAGGTGACATTTTTAGATCTAGGAATTCTGTATCTTAATATTTGTTGCTTTATACAGTTTGAGGAGTTTTCATGGGGTAATTATAATTCTCAGCTATTTTGTCATAATTTTTGTTTAAATTACATATATATAAAACTTGGAACAGTATGAAATGTATACAGTAAAATGTGAAAAACTCACCATACCCAGCTCTACCCCCCAACGAACTCAATTTCTCTAGATTTTTTTTTTTTTTTTAAAGATTTTATTTATTTATTTGACAGAGCGAGAGTGAGAGCAGGAACACAAGCAGGGGGAGTGGGAGAGGGAGAGGGAGAAGCAGGCTTCCCGCCGAGCAGGGAGCCCGATGCAGGGCTCGATCCCAGGACCCTGGGATCATGACCTGAGCCGAAGGCAGACGCTTAACGACTGAGCCACCCAGGCGCCCCTCAATTTCCCTTGATTTAAATACGGTCAGTAGTGTAATTCTCTACACGTTTTTCAGTGCATATGCAAACACACATCCAGATCCTTGTTTCTTTTTTAACCCAGTGTAATCGTTCTGCCAGAGTCCATTTTGAAGGCTTACAGTAGAGTAGCTTAGTGAATTGCGCCGTAGGACTGCTAACTAATGTGGACTAATATGGTGGTGATTTTACCCCCCTTTTCAGAAACCATGGACAGAGGAGAGCCCCCTGCAGCGCTGTCCTCCTCTCCTTCACCTTCCTCCCCTTCACCCACTCTGGGCAGACAAAGGCCTGAAATGGGAACGTTTGTCAGGAAGAAGAAGACCAGCGACATCTACTTCGTGTCCCTCGTGTGGGCCATTATTGGAGTCCAGCTCTGGTTGAATCTGTGGATTATACAGTTGCTTCCAGTGCCTATTGCAGGTAATCGGTCCCTATGGTCTGGTCTTGGAAGCCTTCTTTTTCTTTAAATTTTGGATTTTTTTTTTTTTTTAAAGATTTATTTATTTATTTGAGAGAGAGAGAATGAGAGAGAGCACATAAGAGGGGGGAGGGTCAGAGGGAGAAGCAGACCCCCTGCCGAGCAGGGAGCCCGATGTGGGATTCGATCCCGGGACTCAAGGATCATGACCTGAGCCGAAGGCAGTCGCTCAACCAACTGAGCCACCCAGGCGCCCATAAATTTTGGATTTTAATATTTGAGGTAATATTACTCTCTTTTAAGATAAAACAGTTGTATATTTAAAGCTTCTTCTGAGAATGGAAAAGTAAGTAGTTCAGGTGAATTTTAGAAGAGTCTTTTATTTCATGCTTTCCTGATTGTTTAGGCTTAACCTCTTACTGCAATCAGAACCTTTGTTAAATTTATTTATTTATTTACTTTTTTTTTTTTAAAGATTTTATTTATTTATTTGACAGAGAGACACAATGAGAGAGGGATCACAAGCAGGGGGAGTGGGAGAGGGAGAGGGAGAAGCAGGCTTCCCGCCGAGCAGGGAGCCCGATGCGGGGCTCGATCCCAGGACCCTGAGATCATGACCTGAGCCAAAGGCAGACGCTTAATGACTGAGCCACCCAGGTGCCCCTATTTATTTACTTTTTAAAAGATTTTATTTATTTGAGCGAGAGAACGCGTGCATGAGAGCACAAACAAGGGGGGAGGGGCATAGGGAGAAGCAGACTCCCCGCTGAGCAGGGAGCCTTGTGCGGGGCTTGATCCCAGGACCCTGAGATCAGGACCTGAGCCACACAGGTGCTCCCCTTTGCCAAATTTATTAAGTCCTCAGTTGATGCTCAGGGTCCTGCCATCCAGATACCTCCTAAATTTGATTAGTCTTTTCTTTATCAAAGCTTTTCATTATTGATTTAAACATGATTTCCTTTTTGGAAGCCTGTTTTCCACCATGGTTTAAAAATCTAAACTCATTGGACCATTTACCTTCTAGATCCTTAGTTTTAAAACTTGTGATTCTCATTAACTTGGACAGTTAATGAAATAGTTACCTTGTTTAAAAAAAATAAAAGATTTGTTAGGACCAGAACACTGTATAGTGCCTGTCCTTAGGGAACATAGAATATGAGGTCGAAGTTTGTATGTGCTTCTTGCATCCTCAAACAGAACTTCTGTTTGGCAGTTGGAGCTAGTCACAAAGTACATACCATAGCCATGCTTTCTGTTAAGGAATTTATAGAAATGCTTAGTGAAATAGTTTAAATTGCTCTTTCTGGATTGTTCCATACATTTTTGGTTTTGCCAAATGATTTATTTTATACTGCCAAATTGTGTCAGGTGCTGTTGGAACCCCCTTCTGTTTAAAATTTGTTAGCAGGAGTTAACATTTATCCTAGTCATTTCTTGACCTTCAGGCCATCATAATAATTTGACATGGCTTGGGAGAGCAGGCTTTGAGCAGTTGGCCCCCAGAACATTTTCTACAGCCTGTAATTACTCTGGGCTTATTCTAGAGACCATAGGCGCTTTCCTAGGACCTCTCTAGAGATTTAAAAATGTTAATGATGGAATTGTTGAGCTGATATGTAACACTGAGCTCATGGTTCAAAAGAGTAAACTGTGAACCATTAGATTGTATGGCCAGGGGTAAGGACACAGAAATCCTTGGAATTAGGGAAATTATAGTAGTTGGGATCAGTTATCCAGGGTCCAGACTTCAAGGCACCCCCACAGATAAATAGCACTTCCTTCTGGCCCCACCACCTTCTTAGGTGGCCTTTAATAAGAAGCTCACCCCCTGCTTGCAGGGTGACCTCGCTGCCCAGTGCAGAGGGTACATACATATTGTGCTCTGTGAGTGGTCTCTGCAGAAGCTGTGCCCTGTGTGGCCTCAGGGACCATTTGTAACAACCCTGCTTGTCCCTGCTCTACTTCTCTACTGAAGCCTGCTCAGAGATTCGGATGTACAGAGCAGCATCAAGTGGAGAAATAGGAAGACCAGGGGTACAAAATCATGATGCAGATGGAATACCTGATACTTTTCTGGCCACTGACGTTAAACATACAAGGAGAAGAATAGCATTTGGCAAGAGCATCTGTAATAGCCAAGGGAATTGGGCCATGTCAGGGGTTAGGATTCTTCATCCCGGAAGGGTAAGGTGTGAGGGGCCAGGATTGTAGTCACTGAAATCTTCATGATCAGAATATCTTATGTTTATACGGTCTATGAAATAATCCCTGGCTCCTTCAGGGATTCGGACTTCACAGCGAAGGTAGTATATGGGCAGGTGGGGATTGTGTAAAAAGTTATTTGTCCTAATTCTGTCAGTTTGGAATACCATGAACTTTTCATTTCTCCCCTTGCCTTTTTTTTCTTAATTGATTTTTATTTAATATTAGCTTCACTGTTTTAGAAAGGTCACATGAAATTAAAGGACCTTTTCACGTTCTGACTTTGTAATCTATGTTTTGGTTTTATATGCATTCGTTCCTTCTAGTTTGGATCCTCAAAAAGCTTGTTATTCACTTTGGAGTGGTGGACTTCCTGGAGAAACGCTGCCTCGTGTGGTGGCAGGCCGTGGAGCACTTCCTCAGGGAGCGGCAGGAGGCTCTCGCCCCATGGCCAGTTGTTGGGCTTGGAAAATTCTTGTTAAAAGTTGATAGCAAGGTATTGTATTTTAAGACTTGGGCTGTTTTAATGGAGTTTATGTATGCATATATTCCATGTCATGGTATTTGGTATTCATACTATGATTGTCAATAACACGTTTCATGTCTACATCTGTGATGAAATTTAAAGTTTAGAATTATGGCTTCTGTAAGGGTAGGATAGATTTAGTTTGAGTCAGTATTGTGTAAGTAGTTTTCCCTCTTAAAAATGGGAGAAAAGGATGTTATGGAGCACCTGTTCAACTCCCTCATTTTATAAGGACCAAATTGAAGTCTAGAGGGGCTATGTGACTTGCATAAAATTATATTGCCAGGTAATGCTGCCTCAGTGCAGTATTTCTGGAGTAATTCCCACATGTCAGATAATGGGCTAAGTCCTCAGGAAAATCCACTGACTCACAGAAAACTAGATGCAGAAGCTCTGTTCAGTGGAGAGACAGCAGTCCATTAAAATTTAGATGCAGTGGTTAGGAGCATGAACCCTGATCCCAGTTCTGCTGTTTACTAGCTATGTGAACTTGGATGAATTTCTTAACCTTTCTATGCCTTGTTTTCCTTACCAATACAATAAATATAATAGCATGCGTCTTGGAGAACGGCTGTGGGGGTTAAATGAGTTAATAGACGTACAGTTCCTAGATTGGAGCCTGATTCATAATAAGCTCTGTGTGTTAGCTGTGGTTTTAATTTGTGGAGGAAAGTATGTACAGAGTACAGTGTTAGTACTGAGCAAGAAAGGACTCACTGTTGGCGAGGCAGTGGGTACAGTGTTAGTACTGAGCAAGAAAGGACTCACTGTTGGCGAGGCAGTGGGTACAGTGTTAGTACTGAGCAAGAAAGGACTCACTATTGGCGAGGCAGTGGGAGAGGGGAGGTTTTGCAGAAGAGGTGGTGCCGCAGCAAATTTTGAAGCGCAAGTAGGAGTTTCTTAGGTGACAGGGCAGGAGGAACAGGTGGACGGAGCAGGGCAGAGGTAGATAGAGACCGCCGCAGCCTGACTTCTTAGGGAGCACCAAGGAAACAGGCATGGTGGGATATATGCAGAAGCGAGGCTGGAGAGTCCGGCGAGACCCAGTCGGGGTCTTTGTCGGTGCTGTGCTGTGTGAGCCGGGCCTCCTCACAGAGCCTAGTAACTGTTTCCCTGAGCAGGTCTGTCCATGACTTCAGGTTAGGTGAAGTCACTAATACTGGTAGATGAAACCAGCATAGATAGAGATGAGAAGAATAACTGGAGTTCACGTGAGGTGGAAGGAAAGAAATCTTCTAAAGCCATGGTAACATCTCCTGGGCAACAGAGGTGCAGGGGGATATGTTTTTCTGTTTTTGTTTTTGTTTTTTTTAAGATTTTAATTTATTGAGAGAGAGTGAGTGAGAGGGAGAGGTAGAGAGAATTTGAAGCAGACTCCGCACTGAGCACAGAGCCCAACGTGGGTTTCGATCCTGCAACCGTGAGATCATGATCTGAGCCGAAACCAGGAGTCAGTCTTTCGTCTTCCAGAAAGCTTGCCAGTTTTAATTACCATCAATGTAACATAAGGCAGTGCCCATTTCCTGAGCTCTTGCTAATACTAGATGTTATAGTGTAACAAAATGTCCTTTTCAGTTTAATAAAAAGAAGTATCTCAGTGTGGTTTTAATTTGAAATTTTAAAAAATAGAGTTTGCTTATTGGCTATTTATATTTTTATTTTGTGATTTGCCTATTTGTATTCTTACTTTTTTCAACTTTTTAAATAAGAAGTCTAAGACTTCCCACAAATTTTAACATATTTATCACATCTTCCTGGTATAGGGTGCAGCTTTGTCTTACTAGAGCAGATTTAGTCCTTCAGACTGTTTAAAGGGGGCGAGTCTTATTTCAGTTAATTTCTGACAGCCTTACCACTATCAGAAGGGATGGACACTAAATCTTGTTTTCAGAATCCCACGGACTTGTATTTGGAACCCTTCACTTAGGACAACTCTATAGATGTGTCAGTTGAAGTTCCGGGGGTATCAAAAGTATTTGTGATGGAGTAGCCTTGTCAAAATTTGTCATTTTTTTATTCAAATTTGTATGCCAATTTGTTCTTCTTAAGGGTAAAGTAAAATGAATAAAACTAGCATTTTGGGCTATAATAATAAAACATATCAGAATAAATGTCTATTGCAAACTGAGTGTCTAGTGATAATTGATGCCATAATTATATTTTATCTAATATAATATATATGGGCTGCTGCTTTGGGGAATAAATCTGTTTTTCATGTTTCTGTTAAATTTCGATTGATTAGACTACTGTTTTTGAAAATATTCCCTACAGGAGATTGTTTGAAGTATAGTTTTAAACGTGCATTGAGTGTACTTTTAGTAAAAAACTCTGCAAAGAGCATTTAACAGTTACTCTGATAAAATTCTGCTTTTTAGCTTTTATACTTTTTATATCACTAATAATGCCTTAAGTCCTATGTTTAACAAGTTTTATATCATGTGTCCACTAACTAGCATTAGTTATTATAGTGCTAAATATTGTGAGGTGTTTAGATGAGGTAATCTTAGTGTGAAAGAAAGGATGTTACATAAAGTAGAAGGATGTGTGCCAGAAAAATTGAGATGGAAGGAAATACACCAAATATTAACAATCTTGGATGTGTCTGCTCTTTGGCCAGGTGTTCATTGTTCCAAATGAGCTCTGATGTGTTTTACTGTTTAAAAAAATGTGAAATAACCAATACTATAAAGCTACAACCACAAAGTTCAGTGAACACATAGTATATGAACATTAATTAAAAATCCTTTTGGTACATGATATGTGAAAGAATCTTAGTTATTATTCTGATCTTTGGAATTTGGTGTGACTGTTTAAGCTGATAAGTATTCAGGCTATTCTTTGTATTTTTAATTGTTGAATTGCCCACAAAGCTTGTGGTTATTTCAGTCATTGTATATCTTAAACGAATACTATATTCACTTGATTTTAAAACTTTGTTAATGCATTACAATTATTTTTCTAGTTTTTGTTTTGTTTTTTTGGTCTGGGATTATTTCCTCCTCACACTCTCAGTGACTTTCTTTTCTTTCATTACTATTATTGCATTCTCTAATGATATTCCACTGTTCTTATCTTCTCTTTCTTACCTTACCCCCTATCCTCAAGCTCTGGCACTGGCTAAATAAGAAGGTAAATGAACACATGGATGTTGGTTTTTACTATTGAATTCTGTAACTTCCCCCTGTATCTCCATTCTCATTCTGTTTCTGTCCATATGTCAAAATTAGTTTTTGCTTTTAAAGTTCAAATTAATAAGCTATGGAAGGTCGTGAAATGTTGGTACTATCACAGTACAATTTGCTAAACACCCAAAGCTATATATTTAGGATATATGGTTACTATCTCCTTGCCCAGGTGTGTGTAAGAAGTTCTGTCTTGGAGTCCTTCTGTCCACAGTGAGTGAGTGACGTTCCTTTTCAGCTCTAATGTAGCCCTACTTTAGTCTTCTTTGATGTGTGAGAGCACATTAGGCAATAGTTACCGAAAAGGAAAGAGAACTTTTTTTTTTTTTAAGATTTTATTTATTTATTTGAGAGAAAGAGAGCACGAGCGGTGGGGAGAGGCAGAGAGAGAGGGAGAAGCAGGCTCCCTTTTGAGCAGGAAACCAGATGCCGGGCTGGATCCCAGGACCCCGGGATCAAGACCTGAGCCAAAGGCAGATGCTTAACCGACTGAGCCACCCAGGCGCCCCAGAAAGAGAACTTTTTATTGCTACTTATTTTATAAATGACACAGAAGTTTTTTAAAAAGATAAATTTGTGAAATACTCGATTTACTTGGCTGGTAATTTTATATAGTATCTTTTTTTTTTTTTTTAATAGCAACTATTCTAGAATTTCATTTTTAACTTAAAAAAGATGGTGGTCATGGCCTGTGACCTCGTATTTCTCAAGGTATGAGGTTGTATGTATGGTGAATGCTTCACATGATTTGCATGAAATAGGTACATTTTTAATAACTTCGATAAAGGATAATCCAGATAAATTAGGAGTGCTGTACTTGTGACATGTAGCCCACATATAGTAGTTCTAGACTTAAATTCAGCAAATCCCTGAGACAGATAGCAGGAGATGACATTTATGTGTATTGTGTTTAGGCACAACAAAACTCTAAAATTGTCAGTGGAGATATAGCAGACCTTAAGAATGTGGTACTTCTTAGAAATAGACCAAGGTGACACATTTGGGTTAGAGTTTAGGGTTTTCTTCTTTCTTTTGAAGAAGAAGAAAGAGGGGACTTGACAGTGCCTTAAACTTCTGAACTTTGGATTGAAAATAAACAGTGTGTAAAATACATACATACATACATACACACATACACTTACCGGGCACTCCCTCGCTCCCACCAACGTACATGCTGTTGTCTGTACCTCCATTCCCTGCAAAACTAATGAGTAAATGAGTTCAATCCTTGGCAAATGATAGTGCTGCAAACAAAAGTCACATTTTCTTATTTTGATCAGAAGAGGTGGTTTTATATACTGCTCCAGCTTGTGTATATTGAAATGAAATTGTCCTCAAGGGATGAGAGAAAGGAGAGCTAAAGTCATTAGGTGCAATTTGATTTAACCTTAGGTGACTACATGAGTTAGATCACCTAATTTAGGAGCCTAATTCATAGCTAACCAGTTGTGACTCAGTTTTAAAAGATTCCTAAGAGATCAAGTGACGGTTTCCTTTCTTTGATGATTCCGTATAGCACAGGTAAAGCATTGGTGGAGAGCAGGAGTGCTGCTGTAAGTTCTGGGACTGTATGTTCTAGGAAAGCACATAAATAAGTTGAGGTCTGTTTTATTACATTACATCCAAGGTCAGAAAATTTACAGTATTGGGTATTTGGTTTTTCAGGTTCAAGTGGAGTGAACTAGGAAACTAATTCAAGGAAAGGGAGGGTGAGAGAGAACATATCTGTGGTTAATTGAGACATAACCTATTTCTCAAGGCTTGTTTTATTTTTTAGTGTTGGTTATGTGCACTAAGACTCAACTAGAATTTGGTTCAAAAAACAAAGCAAAATGAAAGGCCCAGAATAATGAAATAGAAAACTCAGTAGTGGAACGATCACTTACTTTTTTTTTTTTTTAATTTTTTTATTCTTATGTTAATCCCCGTACATTACATCATTAGTTTTAGATGTAGTGTTCCATGATTCATTGTTTGTGCATAACACCCAGTGCTCCATGCAGAACGTGCCCTCCTCAATACCCATCACCAGGCTACCCCATCCTCCCACCCCCTTCCCCTCTAGAACCCTCCGTTTGTTTTTCAGAGTCCATCGTCTCTCATGGTTCATCTACCCCTCCGATTTCCCCCCCTTCATTCTTCCCCTCCTGCTATCTTCTTCTTCTTTTTTTTTCTTAACATATATTGCATTATTTGTTTCAGAGGTACAGATCTGAGATTCAACAGTCTTGCACAATTCACAGCGCTTACTAGAGCACATACCCTCCCCAGTGTCTATCACCCAGTCACCCCATCCCTCCCACCCCACCCCCCACTCCAGCAACCCTCAGTTTGTTTCCTGCAATTAAGAATTCCTCATATCAGTGAGGTCATATGATACATGTCTTTCTCTGTTTGACTTATTTTGCTCAACATAATACCCTCCAGCCAGTTTAGAAGTTTCAAAGTCTTGCAGTATAACCATACATTTACTGACCTCTCTAAATTTTAAAAAATGCATGCCCTTCATTCACACTGGAAACATTTCAGAATGTCATTTTAAAATTACTCCCCTTCCCCTTTAAGAAAATAAAGTTTAATAACTAAGATAATTTCTCAGAGCGTAGAAGGCTGGGGAGATCACCAGGGACAGTGTGATTTCTACAGGCAGGCATTAATGACAGCTGATGGCAGTGATGACAGGTGGTGTGGATCCTGCTGCCCGAAGCTGAGTACAGCACAGGGTCTGTCTCTTTGGACAGTGCCTCTGGCATTTCTTTAGGAATTCTGTCCTCCATTCCCTTCTGCTTCTCCATTGCTTCTTTTGTCCATGTTTCTCTTCTTTTCTTTTTTTTTTTTTAAGATTTCATGCATTTGAGAGAGAGAGTGAGTGAGAGAGAGAGAGAGCACAAGCAGGGGCAGAGGAAGAAGCGCACTCCCCTGCTGAGCAGAGAGCCCAAAGCAGAGCTTGATCCCAGCACCCCGGGATTGTGGCCTGAGCTGAAGGCAGATGCTTAACTGACTGAGCCAGCCAGGCACCCCTGTGTTTCTCTTTTGATGTCCGAGTTTCTGCTTCCTTGAGAGTCTTGTTCCATTCACTCTTTCTTGGGGTTCTTATCCTCCATTTAAGTTTTCTGTCCACTTCGTTATTTCCTCTTTATTGATTGGTCCTTGGTTCTATGCACCAGTTGCCCCCAGCCACACATTTTTTTCTCCTGTTTTGACCTTTAAAAAAAAAAAAAATCTCCCTTTATTCTTTAATAAGTCTTTCCTGGTCTCTCTTTCCCACTCTTTCTCTCTCTGTCTCCCTTTTTGTCCTGTTTTTTCACTGTACCTTAGCCATGTATAATGTGAATAGATTCCCCTCCCATCTTTTTTAGTTTATATATTGAGCATCTTAAGTGGTTTTATTTATTTTAAATTTTGAATGAAACCTCTAACCCTCACTGTTAGCCCTGAATATAAATTTTTATTTAGGTGACTCTTAGTGTGGATTTTTTCCAATCCCTAGGTATATGGCTTCTGGTAGGAAAATTCTACCGTGGTTTAAAAACATAAAGCTTGATTTTGTAATATTGATATTCATAATGTGTTTGTGAATTCCATGTTTTATATGTTAGAAATACCTGGTCTTAAATTTAGTTGTACTTTCTAAATCATCATTTACATTTAAAAAACATATTTCAGAATACACATTTTTCAAAAAATTGGGGCTCCCAAGTTATTTTTAGAAATTGTAATTTGTGAATACAGATCTGGTCTTAATTCTGAAGTTATTTATGTTTGCCTGTTCAGATATATATTTGAGCTTTCACCATGTGCCGTGCACTGTCAGGCTTGGGAACTACAAAGAAGAATAATACAACCCTAGCTCTTTCCTCAGGAAACTGTCTCAAGAACTCTGTGTAGAGCTGATTTCTAATTGTGAAACTTTTCAGTTTCATTGATTTTAGAATGTACATTCAAAATACGACATCTGACCTTCCATATCTTAAAAACTTGATACTACTCTTTTTAATCTCTGCATTGTCTTTGATGCTTTGGTAGCATGCACTGAAAATTAACTCTTCTGTTTGAAGCTGTAATTGTCAAGATAAAAGATGAACTTTTTATCTTTGAGCTCACTGCATTGATCTTTTAGTGATAGTATCTTTCATGAAAGATAAAGGGATGCAAGCTTTTAGCATGGATTGGAAAATGTTTTAGAAGTCATGTTTTATTTTTAACCACCGTTTGCTCTTGTTTGTTTAACTCACTGGAGAGCATAATTCAGATTTAAATTAAGGCTAACTTATTCAGCAATGCTGTAGCTTATGTAGGGGTTGAGGGGTGCAATGTGGTATTTCAGCAGTCATCTAATTGATTTTATTTTTGAAATGTTAAATGTAGCTTTGCATGGCAGAAATTCTAGAAATCTGTCAGAATTATATATTCTGAAAACAAACATTTTTTTTTTTTTAAGAATTTTTAAATTTATTTGCAAGAGAGACAATGAGAGACAGAGAGCATGAGAGGGAGGAGGGTCAGAGGGAGAAGCAGACTCCCTGCTGAGCAGGGAGCCCGATGCGGGACTCGATCCTGGGACTCCAGGATCATGACCTGAGCCGAAGGCAGTCGCTTAACCAACTGAGCCACCCAGGCGCCCAAACAAACATTTTTTTAAATGTAGGATTATTTGTGATTGTGAAAGATGAGAGAAGTTACACTCAAAATGGAATGTCAAGTAGCATTTAGGAAGAGCATAATTTTAATTATTGATTAAGGAATAACCATTACAATAATGATTATTCTTTATTTACAGTCAATTTGTCCTAAAGCTTATGTTTTCAAAAGAATGGAAATTTCAAGTGGAATATCAAATTTTAAAAAGTATTTTGTTAAGAAATATTTCAAATAAAAAAGATGTAAAGAACATCAGTAAGTCTATCCTCCAGCTTGATAAAACATTACCTATGTAATTAAAGCCCATTTTGTACCCCTCCTAATTGTGCATCTACCTGCTGACCCCCCCCCCCGGGTAGTATTCTGAAATTGATATTTATCATTACCTTAACATTAGATTTTTATTATTACTGTTTTTGTAACCCTAGTGGCATCAAAGGGAAAAAATATTTTGAATGTAATTCCTATTTTAATTTGCTCCTAATTTATCTATAATTTAGAGCATACCTGTTTTGTAAGAGGCATATTTTTTTTTTTAAAGATTTTATTTATTTATTTGAGAGAGAGAATGAGACAGAGAGAGCATGAGAGGGGGGAGGGTCAGAGGGAGAAGCAGACTCCCCGCTGAGGGAGTCCGATGTGGGACTCGATCCCGGGACTCCAGGATCATGACCTGAGCCGAAGGCAGTCGCTTAGCCAACTGAGCCACCCAGGCGCCCAAGAGGCATATTTTTTGTAAAGCTATCTATATTTGCTAATTGGACAGTAAAATTTCATGAGATTTGAGGTCAGCTGATGTATTATCATTATTTCATTTAAATATTTTATGTTGTTTAGAATATTTGCCAATTACAAATTACAATTTGAAATATAAATATACCACTGTATGAGAATTCAAACATAAATATGGATTATGTTCAAATTGCCTTTTCTTAGATAGGACAATAATAAACTCTTTTAATTTATTTTTTTATTATTATGTTATGTTAATCACCATACATTACATCATTAGTTAATAAACTCTTTTTATATAACAACAGTAATTAATGCTATTAGTTAATTTTCTGAAGTTGCTTACAGCTTTAATCATTATGCCACAGTTTGATTTGCAATGCTGACTATCCTATTTTGTCTTAATAATATTTGAATATGTATGAATTTTTATTAAGTTGTGCTTGAAAGATAAGTAATTCTCTTTTTTGTTTCTGTGCAGATGATCATCTGGTTGGAGAAGATGTTAGACAAAATAATAAGCATTTTCATCATATTTTTGTTAGTAATAGGAACCCTTCTTTTAGCTCTACTCCTGACTGCAAAGGTAGAGTATGATAATTACTGTTGCCATTGATAAATTCTTGTTGGAATTGTAGTATGCAGGGGTGCCTGGGTGGCTCAGTTGGTTAAGAATCTGACTCTTGGTATAAGCTCAGGTCTTGATCTCAGGGTTGTGAGTTCAAACCCCTAGTTGGGCTCTGTACTGGGCGTGGAGCCTACTTAAAAAAGAATTGTAGTATGCACAAGAAGCTGGCAGAAGCTGGCATCGAAAGCTTACTTTGCTTATAAATATATAACAATTAAATTATTTAGATTTTTGCATTATTTGTTTTTATTTTTTTTAAAAGATTTTATTTATTTGAGGGAGAGAGAATGAGAGAGAGAGAGAGAGCACATGAGAGGGGGAGGGTCAGAGGGAGAAGCAGACTCCCCGCTGAGCCAGGAGCCCGATGTGGGACTCGATCCCGGGACTCCAGGATCATGACCTGAGCCAAAGACAGTCGCTTAACCAACTGAGCCACCCAGGCGCCCTGCATTATTAGTTTTGCCATGAATTTGCCTACTTTTAATTTTCTTATGTGCATTTTAATTTTGTTATCAAAATCCTCAGAAATGAGCACAAATTAAAAAAGATTGAGATAGTGAAGAATAAATGGCTTCTTTTTTTAATGGGAGAACTGTGATCTGGTCTCATGAGTCCTAATCTAGTTAGTTCTTTATTTACTAGATCAGAATTTCTTGATTAGCTCCTTCCCTTCTTGTCCCATTGGTCTTTCTGCTAATTTACCATAGAATCTTTATGTCTTACTGTCTAGGTCCTTCCAGCTTACACTTTCAATTCTTTCTCTTCTTAGTTTGGACTGCTGTAACAGAATACCGTAGACTGGGTGGCTTAAACAACAAACATTTATTTGTCACAGTTGTGGAGTTGGGGAGTCTCAGATCAAGGTGCCACCATGGTCAAGTTCTTGGTAAAAGGCACTCTGTCCGGTTTAGAAATGACCATTTTCTCCTTGTACCCTCACATGGTGGAGAGAAAGATCACCTCTCTTGTGTCTTATAATGACACCAATCCCATAATGAGGGCTCCATCCTTGTGAACTAATTACTTCCCAAAGGCCCTGTCTCTTAACCATCATATTGGAGGTTAGAATTTGAACCTAAGAATTTTGGGAGGATACAAACAATCAGGTTTTAACACCCTTCATTATTATTATTTTTTTTTTTTTTAAGATTTTATTTATTTATTTGAGACAGAGAGAATGAGAGACAGAGAGCATGAGAGGGAGGAGGGTCAGAGGGAGAAGCAGATTCCCTGCTGAGCAGGAAGCCCGATGCGGGACTCTATCCCGGGACTCCAGGATCATGACCTGAGCCGAAGGCAGTTGCCCAACCAACTGAGCCACCCAGGCGCCCTAACACCCTTCATTATTAAAAAAAAAAAAAATTCTCTAAAGTACAGCTAAAATTTTCTCGATAGTGATGTATCTTACTGACTTTTAAAATAAATTTTTATTATGTATCTTAATCTTTATCTGAAGTCCACTGAACTTCTCATCCTAGATTTTGATATGTTACTTTCCAGGAATTGTGAAGTTTATGTGAAATCATGGATATGAAAAATTTTCATATAGTGCTGTAGAGATATGTTATCAATAGATAATCTAATATGCAGAATTTACTAAAGGATTACATTGTTTCCTGCTATGTGAATCTCCACTTGGAAGTCCTGTTCTCAGTTATTTTCAGCCTCAGTATGTCCTCAGTCTCAGCTTCTAACAACTTGCTCTCTCCATATCTCTGTTTCAGTTTCTATGTAGTTCTTATCTGTTCTTTGGATATTGATCATGTATAGTCACTTACATAAACTGTATAGACTTGTTCAGAGACCTTTTTTTGTTTTTGTTATATTTTGCCTAAGCCTGCCATTATACATTCTTACCTTCTATTCTAGTTCTTAGAGAAACCTTGTATCAGTATGATCTTCCTTTTTTTTTTTTTTTTCTTTTTCCTTTCTCCTGCTCTTCTATTCCACTTTCCTTTCTTTGTTTCTTTGCATAGGGTCTTCTTGACTGCTCATGTCAATTCTATTCATTTTTCACATCCTTTTTCTTTGTTCAACCCATGCTTCAGCAAGCTTTTGCTTTCCTGAACTTTGATAACATGTATTACTGAACCACTTTTTTGTGGTCTAGGACTTATGCAAACTGAGCTTTTGAAGGAAACTTATTGGTTATCTAGTTTATTCAATAATGGGATTGTCTAAAATATCCACTTGAATGTCTAATAGCCTTCTGAAATATAACATGTCAAAAACTGAATTTCAGCTCTTTCCTTGCTTGTCTGTTCTCCTGATAGTCTATTTTGGTGTAAATGACCACTCCGTTCTACTTGCTTAGGTGAAAAACCTTAGGGTCATCCTTTGACTACATTTTTTCCTTTTGTATCCACATCCAGTTTGTCAGAATTCTTTTTGGCTTCATCTTTGGGTAATAACAGGGCAATGATGTCAGATAATTCCTTCCCACAGAAAGGAAGAGCAAAACAGTATAAAATTATTAAAAACACTGGGACGCCTGGGTGGCTCAGTCGGTTAAGTGTCTGACAACTCAGGTCATGATCCCAGGGTTCTGGGATCGAGCCCTGTGTCGGGCTCCCTGCTGAGCAGGGAGTCTGCTTCTCCTTCTCCCTGTGCCCTTCCCCCTGCTCGTGCTCTCTCTCTCAAATAAATAAAATCTTAAAAAAAAAATTATTAAAAACACCATGTCAGGGCATTGGAAAACCATCAGTTAGGCAACAATTTGAGGAATATTTCCTCATGAAAAACTGTTACTGCAGCTGGTAAAACAGGTAGTTTGTGGCTTTCTTGCTTGGACTTTTTCTCATCCTGCTTGGCTTGGGCAACAGAAACCTGCAGCTTTTCCTGTTGGAGGTGGTAGACTTGGCTTGGGGCTGGTAACAGAGCAGCTATAAATTAAAGGGGGAGGTTCTGGAAGCAAGAGAACCATGAAGGGCTTAATAATAAGAAGATTAATAAGCCATACATCCTAAACTGGTATATGGGAGACCTCAAGGAGCTCTGTGCACTTTGAAAGCCTGGGGAGATTTGCAAGTTGGTTGTGCCTTTGATTGCATTTCTCAACTCACACATCTCAGGCTGCAGAGAATGAAGATTTGTATTGTGAAGTATCTGGGCATGATTTCTGCCAGAATCATTTGCTGTCTGCTAAGCTATGCAGGCTCAGGGGAAGGCTTTAGGCTTTAAAAAATAATAATAAAAAACACCGAGCAGAAACATCAGTGACAGGGAAGGCAGATTTTGCAGCTTAACTACAGAGAAGTTAATTGCTTGCTGAAACAAATAACAGGTCTCAGAAGAATAAAACAAAATCCAGAGTTGCTACAACACATTTTTTAAACAATTTTTTAACCAGAAATTACCAGACATAAAAGAAACAGAAAAGTGTGACTTGGAGGGGGAAAAAAAAACAGTCAAAAAAGTGGATACTTAAGTAGTGCAGATGTTGGATTTAGCAGCTATTATAAATATGTTCAAAAATTAAAGGGAAGTATGCTAATAATGTGTAAACAAATGCAGATGCTCAACAGAGAAATGGAGATTATAAAACAGAACCAAGTAGAAATCCTAGAGTTGAAAAGAGCAATAACAAATTAAAAATTTACTGGATAGGCTCAACAGCAGATTTGAGATCCAGAAAAAAAAAAAAAGAATGAATTTGAAGAAAGATTAATAGAAGGTATCCAATCTGAAGAACAAAATATTTTTAAAATAGTGGATGAGGAGAGACTCAAAGATTTCTAGGACAATAGCAAAGACTAACAGACGTGTAATTGGCATCCCAGAAAGTGAAAGGAGAAGGAGAAGAGTGGAAAAAATACTTGAAGAAATAATGGTCAGAAACTTCCCAAGTTTGATGAAAAACATTAAAATAGCCAAGAAGCTCAACAAATGCTGAGTGGAATAAATACATACAAAACAAAACCATACCTAGACACACATTGTAGTCCAACTACTGGAAGCCAAAGAGAGAAAAAAAATCTTGAAGGAAGCAAGAGAAAAATTACACATCACACACAGGAAAACAACAAACAAATAATGACTGACTTCTCATAATAAACAGTGAGTACCTCAGGAGATTGGAATGACATATTCAGTCTTGGGAAAAAACAACTAGTCAACCAAGAATTTTATATTCACAGACACTATTCTTTTTTTTTTTTTTTTTTAAAGATTTTATTTATTTCTTAGAGCAACGTGCACATGACCCAGGACCCTGGGATCATGACCTGAGCTGAAGTCAGACACTAACTGACTGAGCCACCCAGGGGCCCCTCTGAAACTATTCTTTAAAAGCAAAGGCAAAATAAAAGTATTTCTAGATAACCAAAACTGAGAATTTGTTAATAGCAGACCTGCACTGTAAGGAATGCTAAAGGAATTCCTTCTGATTGAAGAGCAATGACTCTAGAAATAACTTGTATCCAAAGGGAAGAATGAAGAGCACTTGGTAAATATGTGGGTATATATAAAAATTATATCCCCCCCCTTCTCAGTTTATTTAAACAACAGGACTATTTAAAGGAAAGTAAAAGAGTAAAACACTGTATTGTAGAGTTTATAATACACATAGATGAACTATATATGTATAACCACAGCACAAAAAGAAGACCGGGAAACAGAATTATACTGGTATGAAGTTCTTATATTTTATTGGAAGTAAGTCAATATTAACTTGAGGTGATCTGTGATAAAGATGTGGTAAACTTATGATAAATAGCAACCACTAACAAATTTTAGAGGAACTAAAATGGTATACTAAAAATATAGTTGCTTAACACAGAAGGCAGTAAAAGAATAAGAATAGGGATGAGACAGAAAGCAAATAGCAAAATGGCAGACCTAAATCCAGTCATATCAATGGATGTATTAAATGTGAAGCAATTAAATAATCAAATGGCAGAGATTTTCAGACTGGATATAAAACAGCAAGTTCTAGCTAAATGGTATCTATAAGTGTTTTACCCTTGAAATTCAAAGCCATGAAGGGGCGCCTGGGTGGCTCAGTCGGTTAAGTGGCTGCCTTCGGCTTAGGTCATGATCCCGGGGTCCTGGGATTGAGCACCACATTGGGCTCTCTGCTCAGCGAAAAGCCTGCTTCTCCCTCTCCCTCTGGCTGCCGCTCTGCCTACTTGTGCTCTCTCTCTCTCTGTCAAATAAATAAAATCTTTAAAAAAAAAAATTCAAAGCCATGAAAAGATTGATAGTAAAAGGATGAAAAAAGATATACCATGCAAACTGTAAACGTAAGAGTTGTAGAATGATTATATTAATATCAGACAATGTAGTTAAATATTACTAAAGACAAAAAAGAAATAAGGACTTTTCATAATGGTGAAGTAATACTGCAGTAGGATATACCAATTTTAAATGTGTATGTTCCTAGCAATAGAGCTCTAAAATACATGAAGCAAAATACTCAGAATTAAAAGGAGAAATAGAAAAACCATTGATTCAGTAATACTCCTCTTGCAGAAATTGAGAGAATAAGTAGATAGCAAATTAGTAAGAATATGAAAGTCTTGAAAAACACTATCAGTCAATGTGAAGTGACCACAACAGAATCATGTTCTTTTTCTTTTTCTTTTTTTCTTTTTTATTTTTTAAGATTTTATTTATTTGCGAGAGAGAGAATGAGAGACAGAGAGCATGAGAGGGAGGAGGGTCAGAGGGAGAAGCAGACTCCCTGCTGAGCAGGGAGCCCAATGTGGGACTCGATCCCGGGACTCCAGGATCATGACCTGAGCCGAAGGCAGTCGCTTAACCAACTGAGCCACCCAGGCGCCCCAGAATCATGTTCTTTCAGGTAAACATGGAATACCAGGATAAACCATATGCTCAATATGCCTAATTTAAAAACAGTAAAATACTTGGTAAAAAAAAAAATAAATAAAAATAAAAATAGTAAAATATAGGGGAACCTGGGTGGCTCAGTCCGTTAAGTGGCTGCCTTCCGCTCAGGTCATGATCTCGGGAAGTAAGCCCCATGTTGGGCTCCCTGCTCAATGGGGAGTCTGCTTCTCCCTCTGCCCCTCCCCCTGCTCGTTCTCTCTCTTTTTTTCTCTCTCTCTCTCCAATAAATCTTTTAAAAAAATAGTAAAATATAGAGCATGTTCTCTGACACTGGCTTGTTTCTTTTTATCCCTCTTTTTTTTTTTTAATTCATTTTGGGGGTGGGGGGAGTGGGAGGGGCAGAGGGAGAGAGAAAATCTCAAGCTGACTCCACGCTGAGTGGGGATCCTGACACAGGGCTTGATCTCACAACCCTGAGATCATGACTGGAGCCGAAATCAGTAGTCAGACGCTTAGCCAACTGAGCCACCCAGGCACCCCTGTCCTCCTCGTTTTGTTGGTTATTTAACAAAGTAAATTCTGAGGTGCAGTTTCAGCTGGCTTTGTTTTTTTTTTTTTTTTTACTCCAAAGCTTTACTAAATTCCTTATTTGCTTGTATGTGTCACACTGCATCATAATTTTGTAAGCTCATGCAGTGTTGGTTTTGCTTACATATACTATAGGCACGTGTGTGAACTGAATATATTTACTTATTTGTCTTGTGTGTATGTATAAATATTTGAATGTATCTTTTTATGTAATTTTTCCTGAAGTTGTTGAGCTTGAAGTCAGGGAGCTGTTATGTACTTTTTAAATTCCATAGTGAGGGTCATAGGACATTATGTATAGCAGCTGTTCAGTACAGGGTTCTAAATTAATTGATACTAAGATGCGTAATTATTTGACTCAAAAGCATAGTTCCAATAATAGTGTAGAAAAATAAATGTTAAATTGGGCTTATTTTTTATTGAGATTCTTTTCTATCCATAATACAGGTACATCAAGAGAGTGTACACATGATTGAAGTCACAAGCAATTTGATTAATGAGACTCTAGCAAATCACCCTGAGTGGGCAAAGTAAGGATATTATTTTGCAAGAATAGAAATGGATGCCCTAGGTTTAGTATCATTTCACGAAATGATCTTCATTGATGCAGCTACCTTGGAAGAGAAAAGATCGGAAGAGAAAAGCTTTGATGAATGTTGTCATTTTTGCATAAGAACTGCATGTTTTGGGGGATGGTGGGAGAGGGAAATACTTAAGATTTTGGTAACAGTTTATGGTCAATGTCTTTATATTTGAAATGAGATTTACAGTTTATAATATATTTATGATTTGCAAAGCACTTTCACCTACAGTGTGTCCTGTGTTCCTCACAGTGACTGAGGAGATTGAAGAGACAATCCCCATTTCACAGATGAGGAATCAGGATCAAAGGTTAAGAAATTAAGATAATCCCCCCAGTGGCAGAGTCAGCAGTGTTTCCACATTGTATCTTTTTTTTTTTTAAGAGTTATTTATTATAGAGATAGAGCAGAGTGGGAGGAGGGGTAGAGAGAGAAGGGTAGGGAGAGAATCCCAAGCAGACCTGCAGCTGAGCATGGAACCTGGTGCAGGGCTCGATCTCACTACCCTGAGATCATGACCTGAGCCGAAACCAAGTCAAGATGCTTAACCAACTGAGCCACCCAAGCACCCTCACATTGTATCATTTTGGAGGCAAGGTTGGCAATCTGTGGCTCAGGGTGACTTCCAACCACCTCTTTCTGTAAAGTTTTGTTGTTGTTTTTGTTGTTGTTTTTAAAGATTTTACTTATTTATTTGACAGAGAGAGAGCACAAGCAGGGGGAGTGGCAGGCAGAGGGTGGAGCAGGCTCCCTGCTAAACAAGGAGCCCGATGCGGGACTCTATCCTAGGACCCCGGGATCGTGACCTGAGCCGAAGGCAGATGCTTAACCGACTGAGCCACCTAGGCATCTCTGTAAAGTTTTATTAGAACAAACCACACCCATTCATTTACATACTGTCTATGGCTGTCTTGGGGCTGCAAGAACAGGTAGAATTGAGTAGTTGTGACGCAGGTTTTATGTCGCAAAAGCCTGAAATACTTACTCTCTTTCACTTTACAGAAGAAATTTGCCAACCCCTGTCTTAGAGGATCTTTTTTTGTACTTGTTTAATTTGGCTTCTGTGAAAGAGGTTTTTATGTTACCTTGTTGAATTTGATGACAAATTGTATGGCCTTTTTTTTTTTTTTTTTAACTCCAAGGTAGTCACTAATTTAAGTAGGAAATACTCAGCCAGTTTTAGGATTGTAAATTGACATTTAGCTTGGTTTTCTACTTTCAGTTGACTTTATTTCTTTATGTAAAACCTGCTTGGACATTTCTTGAACTTGGTTTAGAATCATATTTGAATATCCTTAAAAGGATGTCTTTCAGAATATATTTCTCTGCACTTATCTCCTGTTACCCAGAGCATACTCAAGTGCTTGTCCTTAATATTTCTGATTAGTTACAAATTGTAGTATATCCGTACAAAGGAATAATACTTAGCATTAAATAAAAATTAACTATATATGCAGCAGCATGGATGAATCTCAAAATAATTATGCTGAGTGAAAGAAGTCAGGCAAAAAAAAAAAAAAAAAAAACCAGTCCATACAATATGATTCCATTTATGCAAAGTTCTAGGAAATGCAAATTAATCTATAGTGACAGAAAGATCAGTGGTTGTCTGTGGATAGTGGGCTCTGGGAAGGGAGTACACAGGGGCACAAGGAAACTTTTGAGAGTGATAGATATGTTCATTATCTTGATTAAGGATGGAAGAAAAGAACTGGCATAAACATTTCATTCTAGAACAGTTTTTCCCTCTGTACTGTGGAGAAAAGATGGACCAGGGTATAAGATTTGAGCCTTTTAGATCAGTTAAAAGCCAGAGTAAACCAGGTAAGAGATGATGAAGCCCTTAATTGTGGATAGTTATAGTGGCAATGAAGAGGATGGACAGATTTGGTGATTAGTTGGATATAGTTGGAAGAAATCTAGCATTACTTGTGTTTTTGGCTTTGTAAGTTGGCGGTTGATGGTAGATTCACCAAGATGGGAAATAGAGGAGCAGATATGGTGGGGAAAAGAATTCACTTACTTTTTTACCTGTTGAGTTTGAGGTGCCTATGGTAAGTATAAGCAGAAGCATCCGGTAGGCCATTGCCTTTGTTGGTGTGTAGTTCAGGAGAGAGATCTGGAGTGAAGTTAAAAAATTGGCAGCCTTAATATCTCAGCGGCTCCTCTTCTTTGATGGTCATTCTTCTGTAGTGGAAATAAGTCCAGACGTCCAGAGCCTCTCTGTACTGGTTTTCAATTGCAATAGGACTGACTATCTCTACTACTGTATTGAAGGCACACACAGTCTGGGGAGCCCTAGATCAGAGTAGTTTAGAAAGTTGCTTGTTTTTATTTTTAAATTTTGAAATAATTCTAGATTCACAGGACATGGCAAAGAAAGGCACAGGGAGGTCCCATGGACTCTTCACCCCACCTCCTCTAATGTTGTCATTTTGCATAACTATAATACAATAACAAAACTAGGAAATGGACAATTCACTTGTTTTACATGCACTCGTATGTATGTGTGTGTGTGTGCTCACAGTTTTTATCATATGTGTAGCTTCCTGTAAGCTGTCAAGACCAAGACCATCAAGATACAGAGCTGTTCCATACCACAGGAATCCTCATGCCACCCCTTTATAGCCACACCTACAGCATAATTCTGTTGAAATTCATTGAAGGTGTTGTATGTATTATTAAGTGTGTTCCCTTTTATTGCTGTGTAATATTCCATGCAGGCAGTTTTGTGTTTTGTTTTGTTTTAAGATTTATTTATTTAAGAGAGCACACACAAGCGGGGGGGGAGGGGCAGAGGGAGAGAGAGAGAGAAACCCAAGTAGACTCTGTGCAGAGCGGGGAGCCGGACACGTGGCTTGATCTCACAACCCTGAGATCATGACCTGAGCCGAAATCACGAGTTGGGCACCCAACTGAGTCACCCAGGCACCCCATGCAGGAAGGTTTTTAAAAGCTGTTTAGACTTTGATGATTTGTGGAAAGTCTGATTCTTTTGCAGCAGATTAATGGGGGTGGACATGAATACTAATGGTTCTTATAGTCTCAGTACCCAAGTGGATTCCTGTCCTGAAGAAGGCAGTTGACTTTGTGGAAAATTCATGTGGGTATACCTAGTGGAGGAGATACAGTTAAGAATTGGTCAGGGGTCCCTGGGTGGCTCAGTTAGTTAAGTGGCCGACTCTTGGTTTCAGCTCAGGTCATGATCTCTAGGTCCTGACCTCAAGCCTGGTGTCGGGCTCTCTGCTCACTGGGGAGTCTGCGTCTCTCCCTCTGCCCCTCCCCCCACTTGCGCACGCTCTCTCTCTCTCTCTCAAATAAATAAATAAATCTTAAAAAATAAAGAAGGAATTGATCATACATATTTCCAGTGTGCACATTTTATACACCCTGTGTAGTAGGTACCTTGACTCCCCATGAGTGTATTCAGTGAGCCGATGAATAATATGAAGACAGGATAGTGTCATCTTTACAGAGCTTCATAGAAAATGAAGTTGAAGTTGGAGCACATCTTAATTCTTGTCTTGGATGGTTCTGTTCACTTGGAGTCCGTTTCCTGCTTTCTGTTAACTAGTCTCAAGCCTGTTGATTCTCATGGCCCTCATTAGGAGATGACATTAAAATGGTAATGAATGTGACTTCCCTTAGTTGGAAGGAATCCAACAGGCTAAGCTAAGTTGTTTGTTTATTTGTTTTTTTATTTTTATGTTAATCCCCATACATTACATCATTAGTTTTAGATCAAGTGTTCCATGATTCATTGTTTGTGCATAACACCCAGTGCTCCATGCAGAATGTGCCCTCCTCAATACCCACCACCAGGCTAACCCATCCTCCCACCCCCCTCCCCTCTAGAACCCTCAGTTTGAGTCCATCGTCTCTCATGGTTCCTCTACCCCTCCGATTTCCCCTGCTTCATTGCTAAGTTGTTTTTAATTGTTCTCTTGGTAGGTCATATTGTGATACAGATTAACCTTTATCCAGGAAGATGAGGGTACATCAGTCCAATTTGTAGGAACTTGGTTTCTCCTAAGGGATCCCTCTTGACTTAGCGTAGGAGAGTTAGTGATTGGCTCTGGTTGGTAGAAGGTCAAAGCGCATCCCAGCGTGTCCCAGCCAGGGTTGCTCAGGTGGTTTTGGCCCTGTGTCTCCTCGAGGGCACTCCTTGTGAGGAGGTCTGGACAGAGCCAAGATCTTTGACTTGGCCTCACAACAGCTCCTCTCATCTGTGGCTCTTAGGATACCTGTGTGAGTATTTCGGCAAAGTGTTTTCACAGTAGCCAGCAAGAATTTATCAGGCCTAATAGATACTTGTTAGTCATTAAAGATCTATTCAAATACTAATGTGAATCCTCATACTTTAACACTAGAGGTTATAATTTTCCCCATAAAATGTCATACCATGTAATTGAAAATATTCAGCAGTTCCTTCAAAGCACTGGTGAACCTCTAAATACTAGAATAATTTAAAATCTGCTAAATTTCTCCCAAATCCCATCTCTGTTTAAAGATTTTAATTTCCTGTTCATGTCTTCATACTTAGATTATTAGATTTGTAATCATCTCTAAAGTTTTGTCTTAACTTGCTGAGAAATATTTGAGAATTTGCCAAAAGTTTCAGAAATACTTTATTTGGATGTAGGAAGAACTGATTAAAGATTGAAACCATTACCAATTTGACATTGCACTTTCTAATGTATCCAAAATGTCTTTTTCTCTGTATCATTACATTTGTCCCTGTCAGTGGCAGTTGGCTTTCTCTTTAGGACCATCTTTCTCTCTCTCTCTCACACACACACACAAGCAAGTTATCACTTCCAATTTACTATATAAAGTACTACAAGTATGTAAAACTGCTGTAGGTTGAGAACATTGCTCATTTGACTTGACTCTTTCCCATAAGCCAGCTTTGTGTTTTGTGTCATATTTAGGCCTCAGGAAAGTTCTTAGTTACTGTTTGCCTTGGCCTTTGGGCATCAGTCATGGATAGTTGAAATCAGGACTATTAAATTTGTGAATGCCAACATCTGTAGTGTACAACCCTTTGAGGTACAATTTAAAGAATATATGAGGGGCTCCTGGATGGCTCAGTCAGTTAAGTGTCTGTCTTTTGCTCAGGTCATGATCTTGGGATCCTGGGATTGAGGCCTGTGTCAGGGCTCCCTGCTCAGGGGGGAGTCTGCTTCTCCTTCTCCCTCTTCCCTTCCCCCTGCTTGTGCGCTCGCTTGCTCTCTCTCTTTCTCTCAGATAAATAAATAAAATCTTAAAAAAAATAAAGAATACGTGAAGGTATTTCTCCTTCGGAAAACACTGGGCATAGGTAATGTGTTATTGATTAAGGCAGATGATACAGTCTGCTTAGTTAACAGGATAGTGGGGAGGCCATCTCTCATGGCATGAAGAGTAAAGCTTGTAGATGCAGCTCCTCGTATAGCTAGAACTCTGCTCAGGACTTCCTCACATCATAACGAAAAAGATCTCCATTGAAAACAATGATTTGCCCTCTTGTTTTCTTTCTCAGTTCTTCACTCAGTTCTTAGATCAGCATGTATCAGAATCACTTTCACGGCTCATTAGGATACTGGTTGCAGGGCCTCAGCCCCATTTCTTTTTCAGTAGGTCTGGACCTGGGCCCAAGAATTTGCATGTCTAACAGGTTTCTGAGCAGTTCTGATGCGGAATAAGGCTGGTGTTGAATAAGGCAGATGATCCGGGACATGTATGGGCAGAGACACCAGCCAGAGCAGAATGAAAGGGAGTTTGTGGGGAAAGTGGGTCTAAAAGCTAAGGAGAGCTTGCAGGGCCCCTTGAAGGGCCAATGGTAGAATTAAGTGTTAGGCTTGGAAGTCAAGGATTCCTGCATGAGATTCATTTGTATCTGCTTGTGATGACTGAGCAACAATTTGTCAGTTACTGATTGTTTAAATACATGGAATTCCAAGAGTTACTGACACAGTCCACTAAAAATATACTAGCTTGTAATTTTTTCTTTTTATTTTAAATAAGTTGGCTTCCTGAGGCTCAAGTAGTCCAAAGAGCCCTCAATTCTGCAGCTAACAACGTGTACCAGTATGGAAGAGAATGGATAACACACAAGGTAAGGGAAGAGCCTCTCTCTGTGGCTTTCTCTCTGCAGGGTCTTCATTGGTAGGGGCTTCCTGCTTTGATGAAGTGTAAGTAGAGATTCCATTTAGAACAGTTTCCATTTTTTAAATAGGCTTAAATATATGAGTCAACAAGAAACATACAATGAAAGTAAACTTTCCGGAGGATTTATTTAATAGTGCTAGTAGTTTGAACAGAGAGGTTTGTCTTTTGCTTCTTGTTCAAGGTAAGTATTCATTATTTGTGCATTAGGACAGAATGATCATTAAAATTGGGTGGTCAAATAAGACTTTGTGGAGGAAAAAAAAGGTTGTTAGCAAATATTAAATATTATCTGCTAGTGACTGTGCTTGGCAGTTTCCAGTTTGTTTCATTTAATCTTTCCAAGAAACCTATAGTAGTCTAAATTGTTTGGCCCACTTTACAGAGGAAGAAACAGGCTTAGCAAGGCTAAGTAAATTCCCAGTGGTCATGTAGTAAATTGCGGAGCTTGGTTTCAAACTGAAGACGAATTCTAAATCCCTCGTTCTTTCTACACGCTAGAAGTGCATGCCAAGAACTGGGCTAGGTGCTTTACTGTGGCACTTGAGATAAACCTTGAAGGAATGAATGATAGGTTTTCGATGAATAAAGAGAAGGCATCGTGTATTTTAAGGTGTGTTTATGTGGGTCAAGATGTGGAGGCAGGAGTGTGCTTGAGGAGATTAGCTTGTCTGAAGCTTTGTGGAAGGACATGAAGGATAGAGGATAAGGCACAGTTACTGCAGGTAAGGGTCAGACTCCATGATACAGATTTGGCATTGCCCCCCCCCCCCATATTGCCTATGAGAAAGAAGGTAATTTGGAATTTTAATGTATTAAAGTAATTAGGAACATCTAGGGATTGACAAGATTTGTTACAGTGAGATATATGCCCAGAAAAAAAGTACTGGTATGTGATTCCATGTTCAAAATTAAAAAACAAGGGGCGCCTGGGTGGCTCAGTTGGTTAAACGACTGCCTTCGGCAAAATTAAAAAACAAAATCTCAAAAAAAAAAGTTATCTGAAAAATTATACTGTACACATGTGTATAGTAATCTAACCTAAGGATGAAATTGTGGTCGAGTAAAAAGTTAAAAGAAAGATCTGTGTAACTGATTTTCTTGAGTCCATACCAGGTGACCTAATCAAATGCCACATGAAAGTCTTTAAAAAATATTTGCTGAGTAAGTGAAAGATAAAGTTTATGGGTATAGATCTCCTAACTATCATAGAAGAAGATCCAGTCATTGCAGGAGCCTTTTAGACATCTAGAACTATATTGGCTGATTTACTCTGCTGAAAGCATAGCATTTACTTTTTTGGTTTTTCTCTTTGAGTTCTGGAATTCTTACCTATTTGGAAAGAGCTGGAGAAATATGCCTTAGATTTTATAGAAATAAATTTCAAATTACATAGAAGATAAGTTTGAAACCTTTTGCTTAGGACTCAAAAAGGGAAGACAGTTGAAGAGAGATGACATTGCTAACAAAGGTTGTAACATAATCATGTCCTGATTTGGAAGATACGGGGATAATATCTAAAACCAACCATTGAATGTCCGTTGACTGATGAATGGATAAGCAAAATGTGGTATATCTCTCTAATGGAATATTATTTGGCCATAAAAAGGAAGGAAGCACTGATACATTCTACCATATGGATGAACCTTGAAAACATTACACTGAGTTAAAGAAGCAGTCAGACCACTTATGTATGATTCTATTTCTATGAAATGTCCAGAAGAGGTATATCTACGGAGACAGAGAGTAGAATAGTGGTTTCCAGGGGTATGGGGAGATTGAGCGAAATGAGGGAGTGATTGCTAAGGAGTATGGGGGTTCTTTTGGGGGTAATGAAAATGTTCCAAAATTGATTTTGGTGATGGTCCCATAACTCTGAATATACTAAAAGAAACTATTGAATTGTACACAGAAGTGAGTGAATTATAAGGTGTGTGAATTATCTCAATGACTCAGTAAGTTAAGTGTTTGCCTTCAGCTCAGGTCATAATCCCAGGGTCCTGGGATTGAGTCCCACATTGGGCTTCTTGCTCAGCAGGTAGCCTGCTGCTCCCCCTGCTTGTGCTCACTCCCTCTCCCTCCCTCCCTCCCTCTCTCTGTGTCAAATAAATAAATAAAATCTTAAAAAAAAATAAAAAAACCATTGAAATTGTAGGGGTAGCTTTTTTTTTTTTTAAGATTTATTTATTTATTTTAGAACTTTAGAGCATGCTCGGAGTTGGGGGAGGTAAGGGGGAAAGGAGAGGGAGAGAGAGAATCCCAAGCAGACTCCTTGCCGAGTGGGGAGCCCAGTGTGGGGCTTGATCCCACAATCCTGAGATTGTGATTGGAGCTGAAATCAAGAATTGGATGTTTAACCTACTGAGCCACCCAGGTGCCCCTGTAGCGCTAGCTTTTCTAATAAGCTCAGATCTCATCTAGCTAAAAATCATGTGAGAACTGGGTCCTGAGAGCTAAAGTGTAGGAAGGGCTAAAGCTAGGGGAAAAGGTCATACTCAGAAAATGAAGAGTTTTTTAGGGTATGTTTAGGTATGAGCAGAGAAGGTTCCTGTCTGCCTGCCCCAGTGTACCTTGTCAGCCTTATCTCCTGTATCCTCCATGCATTATTCTACCCAGACCTGCTAGTTTGCTGTTTGCTCAAATCTAATTTACTTTCTTCATTCGACATCCTTGCTTGAGCTAACCTTTCTGCTTAATAGTCGTGAATGGGTTTTCTCTGTCCCTTCTCCCATGCCTAGAATGAGGGAAGTGACAGCCAGTTCACAAATGTGCCAGGCACTGTTATAAGTGCTGGGGAAAAGCGGTAGACCAGAAAGAGTTACCACCCTCCTGGAGCTTACTCTAATGAAAGGAGACAGACGTGAAACATGTCAAGAAGTAACCATTCCAGTTCTGGAAGTGCTGTGACCAGGTAATGTAGAGAGTAACCTAGGGTGATGCCTTAGCTAGAATGCCAGAGAATGTCTTTCAGAAGGTGATGCTTTCACCAACACTGGGAAAAGAATGTTCAAGTTGAGGCCATAGAAAATTCAAAGGCTCTGAGATAGGAACAAGCTTGGTTGAAGGAAAGAAAGAAGGCCAACGTGGCTGGAATGGGGAATGTGGTGACAGGACGAGCCATAGGTGATAATAAGAAGTTGGGATTTTATTTTAGTTACAAAGATAAACATGGATTTAAAGCAGAAAGGGACATGACCTGATTTAGGATATTGAAAGCTCATTTTGGCTGCTTTATGGAGAGATGGGCAGGAATGGAGAATGCAGGGGGTTGGCTAAAAGAATATTCCAGTAGTCCAGGGGAGATGTTGATGACTTGGACTAGGATGGTAGAAGTGGAAATTGAGAGAAATGGTCACATCTGGGATATATTTTTGAGGTAGTTCTGACAAGAATTACTCATGGATTAGATGTGGAGTGAAAGGGAAGGAAGTTTTAGTTAGCCCACCTGGAAGGGTAGCTGTGCCCCTTCCTGAGATAAAAAGACCTGGAGGTGGTGGGGAGGGTGGGGAATTACAGATAGATGGAGCTGTAATTCTGTTTGGGGCGTGGTAAGTTAGAGATACCTAGCAGATATCTAAGTCAAGGCATCAGAAAAGGCAATTGGACATACATAGCTGGGGCTCAGAGGAGAGATCGGGGCTGTAGGTAGAAGTTTGAATATCATCAGACAGTACCTATCACTCTACCCATCAGTAGAGATGAACTGTATTAGTTTGGTAGGGTTGCCATAACAAAGTACCACAGGCTGGGTGCTCAGACAACAGAAATTTAGTTTCTCATGGTTCTACAGGCTGGAAGTCCAAGATCAAGCAAGGTGTTGGTGGGATTGGTTTCTTTTGAGGCGTCTCTCCTCAGCTTATAGATGCCTGTGTCTTTTTCACATGGTCTTCTGTCTGCGTGTGTCTGTCTCTTAATCTCTTTTTATAAGGACACCAATCATGATGGATTAGGGCCCACCCTGATGGACTCATTTTAACTTAGTTACTTCTTTAAAGACCCTATCTCCAAGTACAGTTGCATTCTGAGGTACAGGAAGGGTTAGGATCTCAACATATGAATTTAGGAGGGATACAGTTTATCCCATAACATGGCCTAAGGAGACAGCACAAACAGAAGAGGACCAAAGATAGGTTCCTGGAGCACTTATGCTTTTGAAGGTCACAGAAGCGAGCCAGCAGAGAAGACTGAGGAGGAGGAGTAGCCTGTGAGGTGGGAGGAACCACCTGTGTGTGTCTTAGGGGCTGAGAGAAGATTTTGCAAGAAAGACTTGGTCAGCTGTGGCAGATGCTGGCAAGGTTCCAAGCAAAGTGAGAGCAGAGAACTGCCCACTGATTTCCCCATCCCCATTTTATAGATGAGGTTATTCGTCTTAAGTTAAAGCTCTCGAGAGGCATTCTGACTACTCTTAGTGCTTCATTGTCTTCCGTATGCTAAGAGCATCTCCTCTACCACCAACAGTACCTGTGCTTTGGTGATTTTTCTGAGAGCAGTGATGTGGCCGCCAGGCTCCTGCTCTCTGGCCCAGTCTTCCTTGTGATTTGTGATACGTACCGTAAGGTCACAGGCTGGTGTTCCAGGGCTGTGATGTTCTGCGGCCGGCAACACCACAGGATTGAAGTGACGCTGAATTCTGCCATCAAAGTCGTGGTGTTGTAGAGTTACTCACTGTCGTGCTGGGATAAAGGGGGTGTGGGTTTGAGAGACTGCTTGATTGTGGCAGAGGCCGCTGTGTGGACAGCCAGCCCAGGGGCTCTTCTGGGTAAAGAAGGGTCTCAGGAACTGAGCGGACAGTGACAGAAAGAGCTGGTAGTAGGAAGTCTGTGAGTGTCCGACAGTCGTGATACCTAAAAGACAAATGTAAAGTAATTAAAGGAAATTAGACTAGGGGTAATTGTGGCTTATAGTTATTTTGGGCAGTTTGCTGTGTTAGATGTTCTTTGTTCATAGGTTATAGATGCTAAGTTGAAAGAGTATTAGAGTTTTTAATCCTACCTCTGCCAGTTAGCTGCCTGACCTCAGGCCTGTCATGGGTCCTTTCTAAATCTGCTTTCTCATCTTGAAAGTACAAAGGTGATAAAAACCTTTTTCTGCCGAACTCTTGGGTTGTTGTAAAGATCACATAATGTAGAGGAAAGCCATTTGTAAATTGTAAAATGCTGTGCAAAGATAAATGGTTTTTATTATATTCACTCATTTGCATTTGGTTTATGAATCAGTATAGAGGAAAACATTGGGCAGATATGTTTGCATCCAATATGTCTAAAAACTGGTTCAGATATCTATAAGGACAGTGTCAAGTGAGCAAAAGGTGTGGATAGGACACACACGAGAAAATACAGATTGAAAACCAACATGGAAAAATGGTCACTCTTGTAACTGAAGAAGAAAATAATAAATAATTGGTTACAGTTTCACACCTATTAAATTATCTAATAGTTTATCAGTCCATAAGGCTTTGGAAGAATTGGTTTATTCATACAATGTTGGAAAATATTAATTGGTACAATGCCTATAGAAGACAATTTAGCAATGCATAGCAAGAGCCTTTAGTAAAGTGCCTCTATCCTTTGATTCCTGTACATTTATCTTACTATTAATAGTAAGAAAAAAATTGTGTGTAAGGACATTCATTGCAGTGTTACTTGTGATATTAAAAATTGGGAACCATCTCTATATTCCTTGATCAGGTAATGTTAAAATAATACCAAAACTTAATGAACTGGGGTGCTGGCTCGCTCATTTGGTAGAACGTGTGACTCTTGATTTTGGGATTGGGAGTAGAGATTGGGTGTAGAGATTACTTAAAAATTAAATCTTTTTTTTTTTTTAAGATTTTATTTATTTATTCATGAGAGACAGAGAGAGAGAGAGAGGCAGAGGGAGAAGCAGGCTCCCAAGGAGCAGGGAGCCCGATGCGGGACTCGATCCCAGGACCCTGGGATCATGACCCGAGCCGAAGGCAGACGCTTAACCATCTGAGCCACCCAGGCGCCCAAAAATTAAATCTTAAAAGAAAAAAAAACTAGAACTAATATGGAACCATTAAAAATGAAGATGAAAGTTAGTGATGAAGTGATGAATTCTAAATTTCTATAGACAGGCAGAAAGTTGCAGAGGATATGGAAAAATAGAAAGTTATGGTAAGAAAGTGGGACTACAAATTCGTATTTATCTTTTAAAAAATGTCTTTGGGGCACCTGGGTGGCTCAGACGGTTAAGCATCCAACTACTGATTTTGGCTCAGGTCATGATCTCAGGATCATGGGATCGAGCCCCATGTCAGGCTCTGCACTGGGCGTGGAGCCTGCTTAAAATTCTCTCTCTCTCTCTCTCTCTCTCTCTCTCAAATAAATTTTCTACTATTAGGCTGTGGTTTTAATAACAAACATGTGGTATTATAATGAATAATTTTCCTCAAAGTTATCTTGTCTCACTCTACTTGATTCCCAGAAACCCCACCAGTCTCATTAGTTGTAACTCTGAGACCTGACGTCTCTCAGCAGACTATGGGAAATACTTGTGTTTATAGCTAAGGTTCTAAAATTTTACTTAAAGTTCTGTGGTAATTCTTATACCGGTGATAAATGTAGCATGGGATTTCTGTGTAACGGATGAGCACTTGGGCCACATGCAACAGATTTTTCTCTGGGCAGATTTGCTGAGTCTGATCATGGTTTTATATGACCATTCTCTTACAACCTGAAGTAGCTCTCTTAAAGACCCAAAAATAGAGGGAAGCAAAAAGCCAAGAAAGGCAAGGAAATTTGCTAGGAATATTGAAGAGTAGAGTTTAAGAAAAGATCATAAGGTAGCTAGAGGCAATTAAATAGTCTGGAACATTTTAGTTTGATTTGGAACAGATGTAAAGACCAAGCATGAATTAATTTTACTGGATTGTTGTCTGAAATATTAAACCAGATCATATTTATATTTCTTCCAGCTTCATAAAATTCTGGGAGATAAGGTGAACAATACTGCTGTAATTGAAAAGCAAGTACTAGAACTTTGGGACAGATTGTATCATTCTTGGTTTGTAAAGGTAAGTTATTTTATTAGAGGATTTCAGTTGTAAACTAATAAAGTCCTTTTATTTTACAGACTCATTGACTAGATAGATGTTAATTAGATAGATTATTAACATTGGGATATCATTTATTGAAATTTTTAAGCTGCAAGGTCTTAAACTTCAGGTTACTAAAAGTCCACTTGAATTGATGGCTAATCTGCATGCAGAACCCACCAGTCCCTGTGATGGGGACTGAACACAAGATGAAAACAGCATCATCAACAGCATCTTATCTCATTATGTAGAAATGCAATGTAAACCATGTGTATAATGTTAATTTTTCTAATGGCCACCTGAAAAAGCAAAAAATAAACAGTTGAGATTAATTTTAATATTTCACTTACCCCAACATACCCCCAGTATATCATCATTTCAATATGCAAACAAGTAGAAAAAATCTTAGTGAGATATTTTATATCCTTTGTTTTTTTCTTATAAGCCTTGGAAACCTGGTGATGTATATTTTATACTAATGCCGTTTTTGGACTCTCCTGTTTTTGGACTAGCTCCATTTTAAGTGCTAATAGCCACATGTGATTAGTGGCTCCTGTTTGAGATAGTACAGCTCTAGACATTAAGAACTTTTTCTTTGAGGAAGTAAAATAGATCCAAAAGTTTGGAGATCTTGATTTTTTAATCACCTTTACCTGTTCTTGTGCTGATATACTATTATTACTTCAGAAATTGTGATGGAAAATAATACCATTTTCCACTAAATATAAAAATGCTGGTCTTGACAGCAGCTGGTTGTGTGGGTCATGCTGTACACCGGGTTGGCTGGGCCCGTGGGCCTTCAGGGGCAGCAGTGTGGAAGAGGACTGTCCAGTGGGGAAGGAGTAGAGAACGGGACAAGTTGGTGATCAGTTTTCACAGGGTTGACAGGAGAAGAGGAGCATGTATATATCAACCTCTTCACTTGGGGTGGAAGGGAGGAAAGCTCAGTTTCAGGTTTGAATTTGTTGCTCAGTGACCTGTTTTTATTTACTCTTCCCCTGGGACGAATTGAGGGAACAGTGTTGGTTTTTGGGGGTTTCAAAGAGGGGAGGTTAGAACTAACTGAGGAATTTGTAGGTAGCTATCTGCTGAAGAACTGGTCAATTGGAAAGGTGTCTTTTTCCTCTGCCAGGTCTGGGGCTTCTGCTTACAAACAGCTTTTTCTATCCCTCACCCCCATTTAAAAGCTTCATTTTATGGTCCAGGAAGCTCAGTGTTTTAAAAGCATAGGTCTGTAAGCAGGCAGGTGTATTCCTTTCTTTATATCTTCTACTAGTACCTAATGTCTTCATTGCGTAATGAAGAGTGATTTCACCGTGCCGTTGGCAAGTGTCAGAATGCAAACAAAATGTTAAGAAACAACTTCTGTTTCTGATTGTTAACCTCACTAGTCACTTTGTTTATTCTTACCTCTTTCAAATTTAATTATTCCTGCATTCTTGTCAGTGTAATTGTCTTTCATATGGAGTTAGATTCCCCCCCCATTCTTGTTTCTTTTTCATTTTCCCCCATTTTGTCAAGATAGAATTGACATATAACATTGTATTAGTTTTAGATGTCCTTTATATTCTCTCCCCCTTTGCTCTCTTTATCTTGTGTGGAAGATTAATAAGGGGGATGAGAAAAGGAGGAAAAAAGCAAAAATGGGAGACCCAAAAAAAGGTAGAGGGGCTGAAAAGAAAAAAGAAGGTAAATGCTTTGTTGGTGTATAGTTGTACATCTTGAGGAACAAAGTGTGTTCACAACTGTATTTAGGAAGGGAGCACTTGAGCTAGGCTGACACGTGGTATTGAGAAGATAAGCAGAAAAATAAAGTTCAGGTCTTTAGATGGAGTTCTTGGCTGATCTCTTAAATAATGCAAAAATTTTCACCTTTGAGTAACTGCTAAAGTGCTCCAGTGGACCCAAACTGAAATGGGGTATTTATACTTTTTCTGCTTTGGATTAAATGGAGATTTCATGTGTGAACCATTTTCTTCCGTAGAATGTAACGCACTCTGGAAGGCACAAGGGACACAAGATGCATATAAATCGTCAGAATAGCTGGCTGGGAGACATCCTGGACTGGCAGGATATCGCCTCCTTTGTTCACGAGAACATCGAGACGTTTCTTTCGGTAAGAAGTAGTATTTTTAGTGAAACTGGACTTAGAAATAAAAATAGAAATTCTAATTTCCAGTTTTCCTTGCACTGTTAGAGGCCTTTAGTTACCCTGTTTTTAATGCCATGACATTTATAATTTTGAGAGTTCTAAATGCACTAGAAAGATGGCCAAAAGCCATAGCCCTCAGGGGTAAATAGTTCCCTGGGTGCCGTCTCTGTGGTTGAAGAGTAACTGAGCAAGGCTGAGTCAGGAAGTGAGTGTGCAGTGTTGCGGACTCTCACATTCTGAGAGACAGGTGTTCATGTCCCCTCAAGCTGACTAGGATGTCCCCAGGCCAGACCCCTAGAGAGAGAATGGCCTTTCTGGTGGGCAAGGTCTTTGGCAGATGGAAATACGGTTGCAGTTACATTAGAGAGACTGGATGTTCTTTAGTCCACACTTTGGCCGTGTACCACCCACCTCTGCCTTGTTTGCCAAAGGGTCAAAGGCGGCAAGGAACCATGCTTGGTTCCACATCGTGTTTTGTAAAGTGTCTTGGCATGTGGCTTTTCACAGAGATGAGAGGAATTTTCTTGCAAATAGACTCATGACTTTCATCAAGTTAACGAAAGTTGAAGTTTGCAATGTAGTTTTTTTTGTTTTTGTTTTTTTTTTTAAGATTTTATTTTTAAGTAATCTCTACAACCAAAGCAGGGCTCAGACCCACAACCTGAGATCAGGAGTTGCACACGCTACCAACTGAGCCAGCCAGGTGCCCTGCAATGCTAGATTTTTTTAAATTTAATTTTTATCAAACTAATAGATGACCATAGTGGAGAGTAAGGAATATTTTAAGATTTTTTTGGTAAAAGATAACAGTGACCTGCTTTGTGCTTCCCCACTTCAGTCTCATTTTCTAGAAACAGTTGTCAATTCTTTTAGCTTTCTCTGAGTATTTACCTCTAAATTTCCAAAATAACATTTATGTTGGTCTGTCTTGGTTTTGCAATTTGTGATACTATATTTTGGCTCCCTGATATGGAAGATGAAGATAAAGATGTGCTTTTCAAGTCTCTCTGTGCTCTCTTACACCACCTTTGGGGTTTTCTTTTTTTTTTTTTTTTTTTTTTTTTAAGATTTTATTTATTTATTTGAGAGAGAGAGAATGAGAGACAGAGAGCATGAGAGGGAGGAGGGTCAGAGGGAGAAGCAGACTCCCTGCCGAGCAGGGAGCCCGATGCGGGACTCGATCCCGGGACTCCAGGATCATGACCTGAGCCGAAGGCAGTCGCTTAACCAACTGAGCCACCCAGGCGCCCCACCTTTGGGGTTTTCTTAAAACTCCCTTGGTTCTTCCCTTGTCCCTGCGCTCACACTTGCCCTTCCTCCCATGCACCTAATACAGCTGATCAGAGTTTGGAGTTAAATCTAGAAATTCATGTCCTTCAGTCCTAAGACTTTATGGTTTTGATAGTCCCCTCCCTCTGTTTCCTCTAGTCCAGTGGCTATGAAACTTTTTGGTCTAAAGATTCCAAAGTGTTTGTTTTTGTGGGTTTTGTTGATTATTATTGTATCAGCAGTTAAAACTGAAAACTTTAAAAATATTTATCAATTCACTAAAAATAACATTGCGTATTAACATAACACATTTCTTGCATCTGCAAAGTAACCTTTTTCCAAAACGAAATATAATTTTTTTAAAAGATTTTATTTATTTGTCAGAGAGAAAGAGAGAGAGAGCACAAGCAGGGGGAGTGGCAGGCAGAGGGAGAAGCAGGCTCCCCACTGAGCAAGGAGCCTGATGCAGGACTCAATTCCAGGACCTCGAGATCATGACCTGAGCCAAAAGCAGCCGCTTAACTGACTGAGCCACCCAGGCATCCCCAAAACAAAAAATTATTTAGTGAGAAGAGTGGCTTTCTTTTATATTTTTTGCAAATCTGTTTAATGTCTGGATTCTCATATATTCTTCTATATTCAGTCAATTGGAACACGTTGTTTTGATTGATATAAGAAGAAAATCCAGCCTCATACGGATATGTAGATGGAAAAGAGGGGAGTCTTTTAATAGCCTTTTCAGATAATTGTGGCTCTTCTTTGATCCTACACCAAAACTCAACAAACGGTATTTCTTACAGGTTAGTTGCAGTGTGGAATTTGAAACTGTATCAATAAACTTTTTGTACTGTCTTGTATTAAAGTCCATTTATCTATCTTGGCTAGAAATGGGTCTTTTACTCTTGTATATTTTTGTGATATGCACTGGTCATTTGGAATATTGGTTCACTGATTTTTGTACATCATCTAAATATCAACATATATTCTTACAGAATATAAAACAATCACATTCTTTAATATAACTACCTGTCTCATCAGAAAAAAATCTTAAGGTGTGAAGGTCAACCCTTGATCAAATTTTTTTTTTTGAGATTTTATTTATTTATTTGACAGAGAGAGACACAGCGAGAGAGGGAACACAAGCAGGGGGAGTGGGAGAGGAGAAGCAGGCTTCCCGCAGAGCAGGGAGCCCGATGTGGGGCTCGATCCCAGGACTCTGGGATCATGACCTGAGCCAAAGGCAGACGCTTAACCGACTGAGCCACCCAGGCGCCCCTCACATTTTTTATTCCTGCCTTCATACTTGGAATATCCAAAAGCTCTCACGTTCTAAACCTTTCTTCCTAATCCCCTTGGTTACACAGAAAGGTTACTTGATTGTTGTTGGAGACTGAGAGTCGACAACGTATTCAGTTAATTTCTTAAGAATTACAACAGAGTATTTCCTGTTAGTGTGACCCAGAAACTATTTAAATTTTTTTTTTGATAAAAATTCCAAAATGACAGAAGCCCCCAAAAGAATGCATGTAAAAATCACAAGTAAGGGCATTGTTGATTTGTTTCTTGGAATCAGTGGTGTTTTTCATTCATTCTTTATCCCACAAGGTCAAATGGTCAGTCATGCATATTTTTGTAGGCATTGCGAAGCATTTTCAAGATTTTCTGTAAGGAGTTATTGTAAATGAAACCAGCCTGCAAAAGCTCTCCCATGAAGACTGAGCTGAGGTTTGCAAGAAACGCCAGGGACAACAAAATACGCCTTTATAAATGGTACATTTGAGATAGGAAAGGAATGGATAGGCCTTTCATAGAACAGATGGTATAACTTGCACATATGACAAAAAACAGAACTGCTGTTTTGGAAAGGGCACACCAAAATAAAATCAACATTAGACTTCTGGTCCCAGTCTAGTTCCACTTCTTAGCTCCAAGGCCCTTGGGCAAGTTTTAAAAAATCTCTGAGCTTCAGTTTGTCTATCTTTACAATAAAGATCATGTCATCTGCATTGCTTCTGTCACAGGGAACAGATGTTATCATGAGGGAATTTAAGTTCATGGGGAGATAGGAAATGAACACATGTAGGTGTGCTATAGATATTGTACATCTTCTTTAAGAGGTATTAATAACTATTTTAATAAGTGGTTCTAGTGAATTTGCAGGTGATGGACTAAATGAACATTTTAAGTCTCGATATAAGGGTCATCGTCTATCTAAAGAAAGATTATCAGCTGCGGAGTTCTGCCCTTGACCTATTTCTTTTACTATGATTTTAGTGAAATCATCCAAGTAATGCTTTTGTGTTTGTAAGTGAATCTAAGTTGGAGGTGGCAAGGGGGGAGGTGGCTAATAGGACAAATACTAGAATTTTCATGATCTACACTTGTGATCCTATACAGGTTGCCTTCTGGCATATTCTCCTGTAGGTATTTTTTCTATAAATATCATTTTTACATAGTTATAATCATGCTGTATATAAAGTTTTTATTTCCTGCTTTTTCAGCTTTGCAGTGTTTCAGAAAATGTTTTTCTGTGTTATAATAGAGCTATCTTTAATGGCTATAATATGATTTGGAGTTAGGTTCACCATGGTTTTCTTAACCATTTTCCTTACTGTTCAACGTTCACGTGATTTCAGGTTTTTTTTTTTTTTTTTTTCATTTAAAATAATACTCTATTTTCAGTTTCTGGTACTCACATTTGTACTAAAAGCACAGCAGAGAGCTGTAGAAACTTCTTTCTGGAGGATTAGTTCTGATGTTCAGCTTTCCCTCGTCATCAGATCTTGGAGTCTCTGTGGATTGTCATGAGCCGGAACGTGAGCCTGCTTTTCACCACCGTCACAACTCTCCTGACCATCCTCTTCTACAGTGGGACTGCCCTTCTCAATTTTGTCCTGTCTCTGGTATGTACAGTTAGATAAGTGCATGGCGCCTCTCCTTCCACAGTAAAGCACCTTCTTGGTTCCATTTATGTTTCCTTCCTGTAGTTTCCAAATGTGATTTTTTAGGAGATACTATCCTTTGTTTTGCAGATAATTTTCCTGACCACCCTATTTTATCTATTAAGTTCCAGCGATGAGTACTACAAGCCAGTGAAGTGGGTGATAAGCCTGACACCACTATCTCAGCCAGGTCCTTCTTCTAATATTATTGGCCAATCTGTGGAAGAAGCTATCAGGTAGGGAGAAGATTTATGCTGTTCTTCTTTCCATTAGAAACTGCTTTCTATGAGAAGCCTGTTTTCTGTCTTGAGCCTTTCTAATAACATTCGGTGCTAAACTAGTGACATACCCTGGTATTTTCAAAAATTTTTATATCCTTTTGAGAGAATGATGTGAGCAGTGCAAGTGTTGATAAGAAAAAAATTCAGTTTCAGTTTCCTGCTGTCAGTCTTAGGAGTTAACAGCTTTCCCCCACTGCAGGCTCTTGCTGTAGCTGCAGCTCCTGTCATCATGTCACTTGCTGGGGAGAACCCCCTCTGGCACCACACATACCTCCTCTTCTCTGGGAGCCCTCCTATTCTCAGGAACTGCAGCTGTGCCCAGGGAACGGCAGCAGATGGTCTTTCTGTTTCTTCCTCTCTTCCTCTGTAGCCAGGCTGTGCCCTTTGCATGAGGGTAGATCGGATACTGGAAATGTGAAGTTTCTGGTTATTTTCAAGTCCCAGGCTATATGTGCATCACAGGTTCTGGCCAGAAACTTCCATCATGTCTTGTGGCGTCCATGTATTGCAGGCTTGGCTTCTGAATTAGATGATTCTTCAACTTTTTTTCTCCATATATGCTTTCCAAGTCTTTGGCTCCTGGTTCCCCACGCCTTCCTCTTTGTCATTTTGGATAGGGAAAGGCCTCTTGCAGCTCAGGCCTATCTCAGCTCCTTCCTCACCCTTGTCCCCCATTGCTTTTAGCTCATTAGGATTCTACTGTATTTTTACTGCTTACGAATAGTTGCCCAAATTAAATCCTCATGTTATCCATCAGAGCTTCTTTTTCAAGTAAGTTGTTCGCTAATGGTCTTAAACTTATCTTGAATAATGAATTTTTGGCTGGCCTTTATGTTTCCACTTACTTTTAAGAAATAGCATTCCTTGGAACTAGTCTTTCGTAGAAATCTTGATATGACCTGCTAATGCTGTCTGACTGATCTTGGCTTATTTCTTCATTGTGTTCATTTAACAACTGGTTGAGGATACCACTTTGGTCTCTGGAAAACCCTTAGTTACATTCAAATAGCATATATGTTCCTAAAATACATTCTCTCTAGAAAGGTTGCTGGATTATCTTTCTTTTTTCCTATTAGCAAGGCCTGGGTAAAGTCTTCATCAGTATCTTGCTTCCTTTATTGGCCATCAGGTAGGATTTTAAAGAATGTCCTTATCCTCTGTGGTGCTCTTGGGTATCCCATGTGGGACCATCTATGTAAAGATTCCAAGTTTGGGGGGCTCCTGGGTGGCTCAGTCGTTAAGCGTCTACCTCGCCTCAGGTCGTGATCCCAGGGTCCTGGGATTGAGCCCCGCATCGGGCTCCCTGCTCAGCGGGAAGCCTGCTTCTCCCTCTCCCACTCCCCCTGCTTGTGTTCCCTCTCTCGCTGTGTCTCTCTCTGTCAAATAAATAAATAAAATTAAAAAAAAGAAAAGATTCCAAGTTTGGGAGTGTATTATCTAATGTAACAACAGTTTTCAAGGTGAAGCTGTCTTCTTCAGGGAAGAAACTTGCTGGGTTTAGCATCCTTTCTAAGTCTGTATGATCATGGGGTATCATCTTTATTGAGTAAATAAAATGTTGAAAACTCTAGCAGTAAATTCACGTCAGTTTATCTAAGTGACCTCTCTCTGACTCAAAGAAGTTTATGTAAATCACTCAACCAAAAAGAAAAATAACCTTCTACCTTCCTAATAGGCCGGAACTATCAAATCAACCATGTCAAAGGTTGGCAGAATCCTTTAGTCAATGTGACTAAAGCCAAGCCTTACAGAAAATTATCTGCCTTGTCCCATTAAGAACTTCCAGAGAGTTACTTCCTTTTCCTGAAATAACCTTTATTAACACTGACTCTTATTCTCAAAAAAGCTTTTCTGTTTTCAAATCACGGTTCTTGAATTTTCTCTTGTCCTGCTTTCTTAGAGTGAACCACTGGTCAACTGTCCTCTGTCATTCCAGTCAATTTTGTTTTCATACCAAATATGCCACCTCCTTTGTTTTAAACTTAATTCTTTAATGTCACGGTTGCTTGAATTGGTAAGCCAAGCTGTGATTTGTACGTTGGTCCGGCTGGTTGAAAGCACATATCCTGGAGCCCCTGCTGGCTCAGTTGGTGGAACAGGTGACTCTTGATCTCAGGGTTGTGAGTTCGAGCTCCACGTTGGGTATATAGTTTACTTAAAAATAAAATCTTTAAAAGAGCAAGCAAGCAAGCACGCACGCACATATCCTTCTGGTGTACCATGGTGCCTTCTTCCAGGAGTTGCTGGTTGGGGCAGAAGATTGTGAGTTTAATTTGTGACACTGTTAGGACTGTTCAGATGGACACATGAGGTTGGCAGCTAAAAATTCAGGCCTTTGACTCATCAAGGGAATTTGAGGTTACAAAGAGTATGGTCACATCTCTAGGGAGAGGAAATATAGATGTGCCTTTTCATAAATTAGATTTGCCTTATCTTCCTGGGATTGTACACACCATGCACTGTAGCAGTAGCCCATGTCTTGGTTCCAAAGGATACTGGTATAAAAACCATTCATTTTAACAAATTTTTAATTTTGGAAAAAGTTTAAACCCTCAGTACCAGAACTATAATCCTAATGGTTGTCAAAACTGAAAAATACAGTACGGACTAGATAACTCGTAATCTAGTTACTAGATAACTTGAGTAATATCTTACTCCCTGGACCATTTGTGTAACCACACTATATCAAGTTATGTAGATTAAAGATTATAACTCAGGACAGTTTTTAGCGGTCCAAGTGCTTTTTGTCTCTTTCTTTACTGGGTCAAATTCAAGACCTAAAATGGACAGGTTTTACCTAGATGCCTCTGAAGAACCTTCTCACAGGTGTAAGATAACAATGAGTTCTAGTTCTCAGAGCTCTTGTCAGAGTTTTCATTCTGAAGGATTGTGTTCAAGACGGAATATGTTTCTTCATGGACAAAGATTTTAAGAGGAAAAATATTATACAAGTGAATATGAAAATGTTATAAAGTCCTGAGAGTGCAATTTGGTCTGCAAATCATCAATGAAATCAGACTTCATAAACATCAACCATTAGTCGTCATCACTGTTATGGTCAAGTGAAAATTATTCAACTCATTTTATATGATCCATCAGTAAGTTGAAAGTGGAATTGAAATTGAGAGTTAACTGCATGGCCAGGCAGCCAAAGTGTCTAGGCTCTCGAAGCTTTTCCTTCCGAAATATGTGGCTACTTTATGCTCACTGTCTCATTGAATTTTTGAACCTCAGTTATGATTCTCAGTTCTGAATAAGTAAGTGTTTCTTCTAAATTGAATATGTTTGTGTATTCATTTGGATTTCCATTTCATGAATTTTTGAGTTAGTGGCATGCCTCTCTTTTCCCCAAACCATTGTCGTCCCTGTAGAGCATGTTGTGTCCTGAATGTTTGCATCACACCCTTCTCCCCCGATGCTCCCATTCTGCTTGCTCTGGTGGAGATATTGCACATTACTAAGTTGCATGTTGTCACGGCCTCCGTGCAATTTAGTGTGTGTGATATTTTCACATGAGTGCATGCACACGGGTATGGCTCTTGCTTGTGGGATTACAACTTTTCAGTGCTGGTGGGTGGGAGTCCTACTTACGAATTGGATGGGAGAATGTATGTACTGTGAGATTTATTTTTTCTTTTTTTTTTTTGTTTTTTGGAAAGTGAATGTGCTTCTTACCTCTACCCCCCCCCCCCCAACTCTGGAAAATTAAAAGTATTTGGGTTAAAAAAAAAAACCTGTGTCAATCATTCAGTAAATCAGTATTTCTATTTTTGACTTTGAACAAATTAAATATTGGTTGGAAAGAAATTCTCAGGAATTTAAGGTTATAAACATTTGTTTAAATTAAAATGTATAAGGAAGAGTTTAAAGCTGTAAGAAAATGTATTTTCATTTATTTGAAGAGGTAGCTCTCCTAATACTAGAAGAGAGAGACAAAATCTCTTATGCATATTTGGGAAGATCAAATTAACTGAAGTTCTTAAGTAATAACCCACTCAGTAAAAATAATGCCTTTTTAAACTACTTGATTATAGATTGGTCTAATAATCTTAAACCTTTATGTCAAGTTTCCAAGGAAATGACTTAAGAAACTTTGTCTTGTATTTAGTTTCCCATTGTGATGCTTTAAAAATTGTTAAATTAATTTTAATAGCCTTATAATTGAATTAGTGTTGAGATACAAATGTTTGCTATTTGTCTATATGATTGAAACAGCCCCTTGTTAATTTTTTAGTTAGCATTAGAGTAAGCATCCGTGATCAGTGGGCACTGTCAAAGACACAAAACCATGTATTGGGGTGCCTGGGTGGCTTAGTTGGTTAAGCGTCTGCCTTCAGCTCAGGTCATGATCTCAGGGTCCTGGGATTGAGCCCCACATCGGGCTCCTTGCTCAGCGGGAAGCCTGCTTCTCCCTCTCCCTCTGCTGTTCCCTCTGCTTGTGGTCTCTCTCTCTCTGTCAAATAAGTAAATAATCTTTAAAAAAACAAAAAACCCCAAAACCGTGTATTAATGTATAAAAATATTGAATTAATATTTCTACTGCCAAGAATTGCAGTTGATTGAATGTGATGTCACTGTTGTATGCATCTGTGTGTGACAGTGACTCACTGTTTTTTCCAGTGGGGATGGAAGGCTTCCACAGAAGCGGCCTCTCTCTGTGCTTCTCAGCAGCACACGAGGTCTGCTCGTGCAGCCTGACCATTCCCCTCTGCAATGGGGAAATCCAGTGTCAACCAGGTTTCTGTACACTTCACCGTGGAGCTGGGTCTCTGGGGCAGATGAACCAGGAAATGGAAGGAGATGTAACTTTTCTTTCTTTTTTATTTTTTAAAGATTTTATTTATTTGTTTAATTGACAGAGAGAGAGACAGCGAGAGAGGGAACGCAAGCAGGGGGAGTGGGAGAGGGAGAAGCAGGCTTCCCAAGGAGCAGGGGGCCCGATGCGGGGCTCTATC